AAAATTTCCAGCAGTCACTTTCTACAAGTATCAAATGGAAGGACAGCTAAGGATCAGAGGAGTTGTATTTGACAGAGTTTCCCACCAAATTCAGCCAGCAATTGCAGCACAATGTAATCTTGTTGATTGACAGTCAAAACAGATTGCCAAAAACTTATGTTGAAATCTTGTACACCTTTTGTCTGGAAAATGGTCTACAAATGAACCTTTCTGTTAGGTCCAATTATTTAATCATCTTAGACCTCTGTTGAAACCCTCTTTGCAATGCTTCCCTCGATATGAGGAAATAAGAACAGGATTTCATTTTGCAAAATAGCCATGTGACATGATCTCATGCAATGTTGGTCTATCAACAAAGTCAAGTAACACTGCACTTTTATCATGAATTTGACAGGAAATCCAAATACAACTCTGTTTCTCCTTTTGGTTGGAATTTGTGACTAACACAACTTGAATATCTTCACGATACTTTGCGCAAGCTTCAAAAGAAACTTTCTCAGCAAACAGAAGCTACTTATAATATTGCAATAAATTAATTAAAATATCTTCATACCCAGTTACAATGTATAAATTGTATATATGTCTCAACTAAATATGCCTGCATTTGTAATGTTAATTCAACTATTCTTACTATTAAGTAAACTACAGAATGATATGAACTTTCAAATCTTTCTGATCCTTCGTTAAAAGCTGTACAGCTATTAATTTAATTACCACCTTATGGTGCATTTTTCTGAACTCCATTGAGAAAAGCATCAATTAACCTTTCCACAACAAATTGTGTTTTAAAGGCAAATGTCATACACCCTGATCTGTGTTCAGAAAAGGAGATTCTTCAGCTGAGTTAAAATTTTTAAACTACACAACATGTCACTGCAACAAACAGGCTTCCAAGTTAATTTTTCTACAAAAATGAGTTGTGTCGTGGTCCAGAAAAAAAATCCCTTCCCCTTAATTTAAATTTATCTACCAAATTTCAACCATTTCACTCCCAAGATGTCATTTGTAATTCCCCTTACTATCTGCCATATAATTCTTTTGATGTTAGTTTGGAGAATTTGGTATTGGATCAACTACTAATTCCCTAATTGATATTCTCTTTAATCTCATCACTTAATATCTGTTTGATATTGTTTTGATATGGTAAGGAGAAATTCTGCCTTGGTCATGCACTCATGGGAGTTCAAGAGTTGACCCTTTACCTCCCAGAAGTGATTAACAAAAACTTCTCCCCACAACATCCATACATTCTTCAGCAAACAGGTAATGAGAATATTCAAGCTTATCAGGTAGAAGCTGCTATCTTGATCTAGCACCAAGTTCTCATAACTAATTTACAATGAAATGTGTAGCAGCTACAGGGGAGAATTAACAATCAGATCTTGGAAGTTAAAGGGAGAAAAATAGGCCCTCTTCCTTGGCCAGAATTTTGAACCTCCATTCCCCTGTACTAGTGGGAAAGGAAATTTTCCAGAGCCACACATTATCAATATGAATTTCTTTACAACCTCATTTTATAAAACAGCAAAGCCTATATTGGTTACTCAGTGACTGTGTGTAGATTTAACCTCATCCACCGCCTCCTGCACCTGAAACAACAGTATTCCATCAAGCACTTCTGACAGAATATAAAAAGACAGCTGGCCACACAAGAAGCTACTGACAACTCACTTCTTTGGTGCCGAACATATTCTTCAACAGAATTGGCAAGAGATAGATTGCAGAATTTTCTCCTAGGTCAGATCACCAGGTGATAAACATGAGGGCTTTTCTATTGAGTATCATAAATGAAAGCTAACCCAACACAACAACAACTACAGCTAATCAAAACAAAAGAAAATATTACCAAAAGGCAAGGTGAAGCTAAGCTAGAAAAAAGTAAACTGCCTGAAGCACAGGAAAATGAAAGTAACCACGGACAGCTTGTTTTCGTTTTGAATCTGAGCTGTTAAAAAAGAATCCTGAGTTTACAGGACCAATTGCACAGCAAAGTCAAGCAAAACTTAAGCACAATGTGGAATACTTGTGACACTCATTTGAAAGATTGCTCTACCAGACTTGTATGAGCACCTTGTTGAAGCTTTGCATCTCCACTTACTAAATCTGCTCATATCAGGTAACTTTTCCAGTTAAAATTTTTTTTGCCGTTTACTAACTGAACTAAAACAATAGAGTGTAGAGTTGTGCAACTGGCTAACAAATCAAGTTAGGTGATGCTATTTGTCAACTATAGGCACAGGCAGCCCAAGCTCACATCTTAAGAAAAAGCCAATAATTAATTCATGAAGGCATCAGGTATTAAGCTTGACTTTGTCTTTTGACAGGAATAACAGTGATGGAAAAGCAAGCTTAAAACAGCAGAAATTGCCAGAAACTACAATGGACACACAGGATGGGAGTAAGATTTATTGATTTACATGTAAAATGTTCATATTTCAAAATATTTACTGTTTTGTTCCCCGTACTATTCCTTATAATGTGTTCAAATTTTCAACAGTTCCTCTTGTAACTTAACACCAAGTCACACAACTTGTGACGCTTTCATGAATTAACATTGCCTTTTTCTTGAGAAATGAGCTTGGGCCACCTGTGCCATAGGCTACCTTTGGCTGCCCAGTATTAACTGAACTAATTTTCATTATCAGCTGGCTCATTCTCCTAATCATGGTTTTGGAAAGTGCCTTATTCCTCAACATTTGTGACTGCATAAAAATTTATCAAAGACATTTGTTGACATACCTCTTCTTGGTGGTCTGTAGCTGAATCCACTTCCACCCCCAGATAAAGGACTGTAATCTAATTATAGTAAGAGAAATATCAATCAGAGATAATTGAATTATATAATGGTTAAACTTTGATTATCCCGACCTTGATTATTCAGGTTTTTTGATAATCCATCTTGGCTTCTTTCCATCCCATTTTTCACAAGTATTAATTAGTCACATTCAAAATCCATAACAAATTATACAATGTTGATAAAATTCTGTTAATGTAGCTTCAAAGAATTAGCAACATGCACATGCTGTAGCAAATCTCTGGGTATTTAGATTTCATTCAGATGGGAAAGCCACACTCCTTGCAGCTTCATAGGCTCTGACTAAGCTAGGGACTGAGTGTCAGTTTGAAAGAAGACAAATAGAATATCCCAGGAGATCAGGTTTTCAATGATGTCATACATGTTGATTCATCCTTACTATTACACAGAGGACTGGGAACTATTCAGTGAAAATTTCCCTAGCATTCCACAAAGTTTGAGGAAATTCTGAAGGTGGAATTGATTCACACATCTCCAGAAGCAATAACTAAAAGATTTTTAAATGTTGTCGAAATAACAAACTACAACATTACCACTTTACCTGATTTTCGGAGAGGCTTTTTAGGTTTTTTTGGCTTTGATGAAGGACTGGATTGCTCTGAATCCTCCTACATATTAAACACAAAAAAAGACAAACAAACTTTACACAGATTTACTACAACTGCAATTCCACACCCATCACTGAAAAAATACTGCTTTTCTTTCCAACAAACCCTGGACAAAAATAACTTTTGCTTAGAGATGATTTTAGGCAACTTTTCCAGGCTGATGGCTGAGATGGAAATTTGAACCTGCAACCTGATATACACACTTTTGAGCTGACATAAGTCAATTTATTTTTTAAAAAACATAAATAAACAAGAAAATGTAAAAAGCTTTATACCGGAGATTTATATCTTTTTGTGCGGTACCCTTTTCCTTCTTGATGTCTGTCCCAGTCTTCTATCTTCTCTTTTCTCCTTGTTTCATCTGCCTGGCTCCAATCAATGATAAATTACAGTTAGAGACAAAATTTGAACCATGCGCCTTTGAATTTGTAAGAGATGCATATTAAGCCTTTTGGTTAGCATGCTGTACTCAGGGTTGCGAGGTCTGGGTTTCAGAACTGGCTTTTGCGTCACTTTAAGATCATAGTGTTGTGTTCTTGAGTCAAATGCGTCACTATCAGAGTGCTTCTCTCCACCGAGGAATATAAACAGGTACCAGCAGACAAACAAACAGGTACTAAATTAGTCAGAACTAGCATCATAAGAATTGTATGACAGACAGTAAGGAGAATTACTAATGAGATCTTGGACATTAAAAGGTTAAAGGAGTGAAGGTTTTAAAGAGGAAATATATACAGTACCAAGGGAGGCTTACTGTTTTAAATTATAATTATACTTGCCAGCTTTTGGTCCTCCATAAACTTGGCAGCTTTGGCATCCTGTTTTTCTTGCAGTCGTCTTCTGGCATTTTCCATACTCTCCTGTTGCCTGGCTGCTTTTATTGGGTCTAAGGCATGTAAAGTCATAAACAATTAGTATTGATACTTGGAGGAAAAAAAATCAACCCTTTAATCCTATGAGTGATTAGCATCTAATTTCTCCTCACAAATTATCACCCTTGAATCACGCATTAAGGTCATAAATAAAAGAAATTATCACCAACAAAAGAAGCTTTTGATTGTTAAACACGTTCTCCTTATCACCTTAGGGTATGTATAGAGAACAGTATGAAGAATGTGCATATTGATGTTGGGGTGTGAAAGGTAAATGGTTATTTTACCCTTTCACTCCCAAGATCTCCTTAGTAATTCTCCTTACTGTCTGCCATACAGTTCTTGTGATGTTAGTTGAGAGAATTTTTATTAAATCAACTAATTCATCCCTTGACTGATATTTTTCTCTATCTTTTTCTCAGTTCGTGGGCAGGTGATATTCTACAAATCCTGCAATCTGATTGGTTCCAAGAGCAGGCAGTGTTATCCCCATTTGGCCCGCTCACAGCGGGCGGTATCCAAAAAATGTTTCGAAGTTTTCTTGGAAACCTTTTAAATTTTAAATTTAAAATTATGCAAACAAATATGTTTTGATGAAACCTCTCTCTTTCATTTGCATTGCCCTTGTTTTCTTTACCATCTACTCGTTTACAAATTGTTCTATTTAAGGAGAATCTTGCTGTAATTACAGCCCTTTATCATTCAGGTTCTTTTCACAACCATTTGTTATGTTTTAGAAAAAAATAAAAATGTTATTCACCAGCCAAGGTTGGTCTGTATTGGGAAAAACTGTGCCCTCGGTCTTGTGTACTGCCTGAGGCCATAGGCCTCAGGTGGTATCCAAGACCTTAGGTATAGTGTTTCCCAATATAGACCTCCTGTCTGGTGAATATCATATATTTATTCACATCACTTGCATAATTGATATTGTATGGATGTTGTGAGAAGAAATTCTGTCTTGGTCACTCACAGGAGGGAATTCTTTGTATGATGTATAGTAACAGTGCCTCACTTTTCTTTGGCAGGTGCAGAAGGAGACATAAAAGCCACAAAATGCATAGACAAAGTCTAGTTTCCTGTTTGTGTCACCATTAATTTTCTCATGTTCATCACACCTCCCATTTTGCCTGCAACTCAGACTATCTGTCAGTCTGTCACTCTGATGAGAGGCTAATCCTTTAAACATCAGCTTTGAAACTCTTTACAGAGGCCAATTTACATTTCAACTCAGTCAAAAAAACCGAATTATCTTGTAATACCTCTCACCTGATGCCGCACCACAATTTCTTCTGAGACTTCTGTCTGTCTACATGTACTGTCTACCTGTCTGTTTGACAGTATGTCTCTGTTTTATTTTTACGTCTACAGTCTTCTCACATTCATGCATAATTTTTCCTTGAAAAAAAAATTGTGTTCACTCTACTCTTAGCGAAACAAATGCTCTCACTTACCAAAGTTAGCAATTTCTTGCTGTCTTTCCCACTTGTTTTGTAGTTCTTTCCAGTACGGTTTCAATTTGCTCCACAGGAATACCAGGATCACAAGCCCTATCAAAATGAGCCAGCCATAACGCTCCAGGAGCCCCACGCCTGTTAGATAGTGCAATATTCCAATTATCGAAAGGAATTATTCATGGTTTTTCATTTTTATCATTACGAAAGAAAATGTCATGTCTTACAGGATTTTTTCCGGTTTTCTGGCATTTCATTCAGCTATTTCACCGACATAAAAATATACTCTTCATGCAATTCAACATACTCCGAGGAAAAAAATTAAAATAATTTTTTGATGGTATATTAAACCAACTGACATTTGAGTCCACAAAGGTTTGTGATTATCAGGTATTTTTATGAGTCATTCCACGGTTTCTAGCTTTTAAAAAGAATCAAAATATGTAGAGCTTTGAGTAGCACCACAATGTTTTACTGTAGCAATGTTAGCTCACCTAAATAAAATGTATCTACAAGAAATGTCGGAGTTGAATTTTCAAGCGGTCTTGACTTTGGAACTTCTTCTTGTCCGCCATTAGATCGCGCTTCGCCGGCCTGAGGACCATCCATTTCTCACGAGCAGCGAATTTTCGTCTACTAGAGGTTGACGGCCTGCATTTTAATACAGCTGATGTTTTTCAAAGTGGAGAAATTTCCGGGTTAAAAGATTTAATTGGTCTGGTTCGACGTTACGTGGAAAGTTGCTATTGATTGTTTATAACCGCTGACTAACGAAGGCCGTGAAGACCTGGGGCGGTAACTGGTTGCACGGAACCTGACGGGGGAGGGGAGGGACAATAAGTGACTCATCTGAGACGGAATTTCTGGGCTGTTTTTGGTGACTTATTCTTTAAGAATTGTACGTATTACAGGCTTTACTTAAGGGAGAAAATGTCTCTTACATTCTTTAATTTCAGTCAGAGGCATGAATTACCTGGTTTAACTAAGTGAGTATGAAACAGACACAATAAACTTTACTTTAATCAGGTCAAAAGGAGACAATAGAGATTAAGCCCAACATTTACAGCCTGTGAACGTAAACGTGTTTTCGATTGTAACTTCTCAAACCCAACAGTTTCTTGCTTTTTTACTTCTCTTCCTTTTTTTTGTTTCTTTAAATTGTCCGGGCAAGAACATAAATTGGTAAAACGTCAATTTCTTCACATGTCTTCCGACACACAAATACCCCTTTTCAAAGCACTATATAATTATTCAGTTGTATAAACGCTCGGATTGGCTTGAATTTTGAAGGTTTGCTACGCAGTTTGCAAACTCAGTAATGAATCAATTCTTGTGACATCCTCTGTTATATTGATTTCAAGCCATAAATAATCCGAGATTACCGGAAGAAGCTTCTTTCCAAAAAATCGTCAAATGCAATCAGCTCTAACAAATTCTTTTGAAACATTTAAACATAACAATTCATGTGAGTTTAGAGATGCAAGTTTTGACCTCTTTATAATGGCAAAAAATATCTCCTGCTGCTGTAAAATGTGATCACATCATTTCTCAACCACAATTTTTTAATGGAATACATCCTGTGATTGCAAAGCCACATTTATGCGTGTCGTGAATTGTTGAATGTTTCATAGACTCGACCGACTGTACAAGAACAGAACTGCTTCCCTCCAAGCATAACCATGGACATTCAAAAATATATGTTGTCTAAATAGGACGAGCTACAAAGCAAATCACTTCAGCCAGATTTCTTCCGACGCAAGTATTCAAACTCTTTGCTGGTTTTGAGACATTCTTCGGCCACCTCTGGCTCATGTTGGGTTAAAATATGTCTTTTGAGATTTCCTCGCCGTTTTAACCTTTGCCCACAAATATCGCACTCAAATGGCTTCTCCTTTGAATGGGTTTTCACATGATTCCATAATAAACTGTTATTCTTGAAAGCCTTCTTGCATTTGGGACATTTATATCGCGCAATATCAGAATGAGTTTTCTTATGGGTAGAAAGCGCACTTGACCACGTAAACGTCTTGGCACAGATCTTACATGTATAAACCTTTTTTTCTTTCAAATTCCCAAGCTTATTGCGTGGCATATGAAGATGGTGAACATTTGTTTCGTGTTCCCTCAAACCGCGCCGACGACGAAACGTTTTGTCGCAATGACTACATTTACAAGGCTTTTCTCCAGTATGGATTCGCTCGTGATCTTTCATGTTGTAGCTCCTGGCGAAAGCTTTATCGCAATATTGACAAACGAAGGGTTTCTTCCCGGTATGCACAATTTTGTGCTGATCAATATGGTGTCGCTGGCGGAAAGATTTGCCACATTCATCGCACTTGTACGGTCTTCGATCATAGTGAATATTCATGTGTTCCAAGTATGTCGTAGCTGATGCCAGCATTTTTCCACATTCTTTGCACTCCAAAGATTTATTTTTCTTCTTTTTCTTGACGCCTGTGGATTTAAACAAATTGGAAATAGAGATTGCACACCATGACATCACACGAATCTAGAATAATTTACAAGATAGAAACATTACGCCCTACTCAGATAAGTGGTAGGTACGACTTATGGCGATTCTTCACCCTTTTACTACCAAGATCTTATCAGAAATCCTCTTTACTCTCTGTTATACAATTGTTATGATGTTAGCTACGAGAATTTGGTATTGGATCAACTAATAATCCTCTCATTTACATTTACTATTTCCTCATCACTTGTCTGCTTAATATTATTTTGATATACAATCGAACCTGTATTAAGCAGCACCGTACTCAGCGGTCACCGTGTGTATAGCAGTCAGCTGTAAAAGCCCCGAAATTGTTTCCCCTTGTAATTGTCACCTTTTTATAGGGGTCACCTCCATTAGGCGGTCCTGGTCACCATTTACTGAACCACTCACTCAATAAAGCTTAGGGTAAGCTTTCAACTATATTGAATTCACATCCATCTACCGACATCAATGCTAGTAGTATTTTTGAGCGAGTTTTGGTTCATTGAGTGGTCGATTATAGCACAAAATGACGCTTTTTTTATCGTTTTTTACAACACCCCTATTCCGTGGAACCTGCATCAAGCCGTCAATCGCCATTCCCAGTGGGTGACTGCTTAATATACGTTCAACTGTATATTATAAGAAGAAACTCTGTCTTGGTCACCTATGAGAGTAAAAGGATTTAGGGATACTTGAAAAATATTCAGCAGAGAAACTGGCTTAAACTATATCAATCTGAAAAGCATTTATGAAGAGTAACAGACCTATTCCTTAAAAAAAACTCTTCCATTCGGGCGGAAATTCCGAAACCCGATTGATCAGTTAGTTATACTCTACCATTCCTATACTACCAGTAAAAGGAACCGTACTGCAGTCCTTATCTTGTGACCAGCAAACGAATATATTATTATAAGTTACCTGTTCCTTTCTGTCTCTCAATTTTCTTCATATTTTCACCGTTTTCTGTTGGTTGCAGGAGAGAGGGATGGACAACGACATCTATTTCATGAATGGAAGGAGTTGATTCATCACAGAGCAGCACATCAGCAGTAGTGTTGTCTGCTTCTAAAAGATGAAATTAAATGTTAAACTGAAATATGCCAAGCTTGGCCTTGCCAAGGAGACCTGAGTACAGGGCACTAAACAGCCTTTACTTGTAATAAAAGTAGCTGCTGTAAAAAAATGAAATTTTGTAAAATTGGTAAGCAGTGAAGGTTTTTTCCACAATTGAGATGTAGGGAAAAAGTTATGCTTTCAAACATTTTTGCCACAGACCTTCCTTCACAAGGTTCAGCAGCATATTTGTTCAAAAACATACTTTCATCCTTGAACAATTGTCAAACTTAAGCTGCAAGCTAATGTGTACTAGTTACATTACAAAAATACATTTTTCAAAGGTTGTAAAATAATAATGCCAGTTTGTGTGACAAGTAGTCCTTAGCTTTAATACAATGAGTCAAACCTGTATTTAGCAGTCACCCATGGGAAATGGAGGGGTGACAGCTTTATACAAGTTGCACAGATTATGGGTATTATAAAAAAAATAAAATAATAAAAAAATTCAACTTTATGCCATAATCGATCACTTAATGTAAATGATCTTGTTCAAAAATACATCTTACTTTGAGTTTAGGAGAGAAACATGTATGGATTCAAAATTACATAAAAGATTACTCTTAGCTATATCTGAGTGGTTCTACCTCAGTGACCATTCAATACAGGTGAAAAACAATAAAAACGGACCATTGGGACTTAGTAAAGGGTGACTGCGACCATTTAACAGAGGTGACTGCTTCTAAAAGATGTGAAAATTACATTGATTAAGTGGGTAACAAGTTAGTTAAGGATGACTGCGACCATTTAACAGAGGTGACTGCTTTTAAAAGATGTGAAAATTACAGTGATTAAGAGGGAAACAAGTTAGTTTAGGATGACTGCGACCATTTAACAGAGGTGACTGCTTCTAAAAGATGTGAAAATTACAGTGATTAAGTGGGTAACAAGTTAGTTAAGGATGACTGCGACCATTTAACAGAGGTGACTGCTTTTAAAAGATGTGAAAATTACAGTGATTAAGAGGGAAACAAGTTAGTTTAGGATGACTGCGACCATTTAACAGAGGTGACTGCTTCTAAAAGATGTGAAAATTACAGTGATTAAGTGGGTAACAAGTTAGTTAAGGATGACTGCGACCATTTAACAGAGGTGACTGCTTCTAAAAGATGTGAAAATTACATTGATTAAGGGGGAACAACTTCATGACTTTGACAATTGATACAGAGTGACCATCTCATACAGTGCCACTTAATACAGGTTTGACTGTAGATTGCTTCAGTTCAGTGGAAAGAGATTTGAGTAGATGGGGTATCACTTCTCACTTTTTTAAACATTTTTTTCATGTATATTATTGCCATGAATTTGCAATCACGTTTGTGACATTGTGACATGTGAAGAAGTAAATCTGACTGTGATACTGGCCCCTTGAATAAATTTTGAGGCAAAAGGACAGTATGGTAGTCAGCAGGCTATGAAACACTCCCCCCCCCTCTTAGAAACTCTCTTGGAGAGGTAAAAATCCCCTTATGGGATTGGGGTGAGTGTCAGGTCAGACTAGCAAAAGAACACTTAAGGTAATAAACCAATGAATAAAGCTCTAACCTTTTGGTACAGTTTGAGAATTGTTGCCCCCTTTCTTGCGTTCTTCATCATTTTCTGTGTTCAATCCAACAACATCTAACTGATTGGCATTGTCACTTTGTGCTTCATTCAAACCATCCTGATCAGATGTCTTATCAGCATTCTGGTCACTTTGAACTTGGTTTGTGCTGCTGAATTCAGCAGTAGGAACTTCTTCTTGGAAAACTGTTCTTGTGGATATCTGTTCCACCTCATTCTCACAACTGGGCATCTCATCAGAATGAGGTTCTTCTATTTCAACACCACTGCTCTCTTTTTGAACAATTGAAACAATTTGCTCCTCAAGATCAGTTCCCTCATTTTCAACATCTGCAACTACACCATTTCCAGAGGATTTCTTTTTCAAAAAGTTCAAAAGAGCCAGTTTGGTAGAACTGGTTATCTGACCACACTGGCTTCTTTTAGCTTCAATGGTCTTGTGTTTGTTGTTAATTGCAAACGTTTTTGCCATTACTAGTTCTTGTTGCTGTCTCTTGTTGGAAATGTCCTCTTCACAAATAATGGTCTTGTGGTTATTGTTATTTGGGCCAGTTTTAACCACGTCTGGTATTCCTAACTGTCTCTTTTTGGAAATTTTCTCTCTGCAAACATCTTTCCTTGGAATTTGGAAGTTTAAAGGTCTTGGTATCATTACACCATTTGACAAGTTCATAGTAGCTGTTGATGGCCTGTGGCCTCTACTTGAAGTTGCTTGTGGAAGTGAATTAGATGTTGATGAATGCAGCACATTCATGACTGAAGTTTCTTTTGATTTTGAAATTGATGTCTGAGGTGGATTTACAGTTGATGGTTGTTCTGCATCAAAAATTGATGTTTGTATTAAATTTGATTCTTGAGATTTTCTCCCAGCCGAAAATCGTTTAATTTTTCCAACAACATTGCTTGATATTGTTTGGTGTGTAACATTACCATTACTTGAGAATCCAGATTCCTCTTTTGGTGATTTCTCAGCGGTTATGTATGAATTATTCTCTGTCAGAGATGAACAAAAGGCCACCTGGTTACGCTGGTTACCAGTTCCTTGTACTCGGTTTCCGTTGTCATCCTCAATAAGCACTTCTGGGTCAGTTTCGGCAAACTCGAAGATGAAGCTGATGGTACTGGAAGGTGAGTTGATGACTGAAATTGCACCCTGATCCTCTATTTCCATAATAATTTGATTCTTATATTGGTCATCACCCTTCAGCAAGTAAATCAATGCGTTGAAAGTAATCCTGCGTTGTTGAAGGAACAAAATTGCTAGTCAAATTGTACACGTGTTATACTAAAACGAAGCATATACGTCGACAATTCAAAGAAATGTATTTCTAGTTACCAAATTGCACGGCGTAAAAGTGAGTCAACAATCCATAAAATCTAGCCAATATTTAACTTGGTGATTACTGCAAAAAGTTCGATTCATGTGTTCATTTTAGCAACGGATCTTGCCCAGTAAGGTTTGACAGAAACTGAAATGAGTCTCTGATAATACGACCGACAATTCCTTCCATTTTAGACGTGAGCGAAATTCTTTGTACAACAAATTTAAGAACTGTAGTGTATCGAGAACAAATTAATATTATTTTAAACAAAATATTATTACCTATCTTTTCCGATATGACTGTAAACAATATAAACTCGAGATCACGGCAAGTGAAGTGTTATTACGCCATTTTATTCAACTCGTTTCCATGAGCAGAGAGTTGACTGGTAACGACCTTTTTCAAGCGTGACATTCACGCGTGACTTTATTTACGCTAAAAAAGTTGAAATAAACAAATAACGAAATCAAAAAGGCGTTGATCTATGCGATTTTTAGAATGTTCGATTCACATGAATTAAACTTGCTGATGATGCTTTTTGCGTATTAAAATCTGAGCTGAGGAATATTGTCGTATTAGCTCTTCATGCTTACTTACTTCTTCTATGAACGAGGAAAAAATTATCTCAGCCATGGCAGTCATGGTGTGACTTATGGAAAAACGGAAAACCACAACCAAACGAAAAATTTGAATAAAAGAGCCATTGGGTAAAGCTAATAGAACAGAATAAAATACCGAATCCCCGAGGACATTCACTTAAACGGAAATTCACGATGTTGTGATCAGGGTCCTGACGCAGTAAATGCGAATGTACTGTATCAATAATTGGACTTTGCCTCGATGTTGGGCAGACAAACTGGGCTATGATAACTTGCTGAAACTGTTCGCAAAGATCCACCAAATTACGCCCCATTCTGCTAAAGGCGAAAAAAACGAACAAATAGACCGAAGAAGATGATATCTGTTGTCGAACGTAGTCACGGTCGGGATTCCTTTTTATAGGAGCGTGCAGTCATCATCGGGGAAACCCCCTCACCTCGGCCCAATCAAGACGAACAACCAAGTATTTGCATCACAAGGTTTGCCCGATTGCATGTGCTTGGCTCGGATCTTCGTGAATTAATGAAAACATGTTTTTCCAGTTTTGTAGCAAGAATTTAAGAAGAATCTTTGGCTAAAGCTTGAAATGCTGGTCTGGAGAATTCAAGGGATATTTTACACGAGATCTCATGTCTGGTAAGTTGAGTTTTATGTCAAGCACTGCATGCAATCAAATTCGCAGTGTTTGCTTTCTCAGGGTGCACGTCATCAAAACCTCGCACATATTTACAAGATTATGACTAGAAAGTGTTAAAATATTTCGATACTTTCAGGAGAAAGTCGAAAGCGTCGGCATGGATCTGCAACAACGGGGAAAGAATGTGTTGGGTTGGATCCATTAGATGAAGAGCGCCGTTCTACTGTTGAGAACAAACCACCCTCTGTGCTGGCTTGCGTGACAGACCCAATCGAAGGAGATTCGGGGCTCGACAAATCTTCGTCCCTATCGGACGACCTTCACGGTAAACAAGGAAGTAAAGCTAATTCGAAGAAAGAGGCCACTGAACATGATGAGGCAGACATCGTGGATGTAAAAGCATCTTCTTCCTCAAAAGTTGTATCAGGTTTGTCCACGTTAGGAGAGGTCGCGGATCCATCACCCTCAAATACCAACGTAACTACACCTCATACCTTAGTGCAATCAAACGACTGTGTACGGACTGTAGCGGAAACATCACCCATGCCTGATCTCTTTGCACAAGATGACGATGGAGATACGTAAGTTGAGAATATGTATTTATTCATTTCATTTTTCTTCACTCAGCTGTTACAGCTCCTCGTGAAACAGTATTGCAGATAGACGCTCTTCCTCGTAGGAGATAAGTCTGGAAGGGCCATCTCGGAAATAAATACCATGTAAAATCATTTAGACATTCCTCTTCAATTCCAGACATTCGAATGTGTATGTATTTCAATTTGGTGTACGTCCTAAAGAGCATATTATCTCGCCGACCAGTGACATAACATATCAATGTTTTGATATGAGGCGATCTTTGATATTCAGTTTGAAATGTTCGAAATTAAACCATCAAAAACTCTGCACGAAATTCCTACTGATGGCAAGTCATTGATGACATGATGATGACATGCCAGTGACCTTAGCAAATTGATCATAGTCTAAACATTTATAGTCCACGACGTGAATATGGACTCCAAATGATTAAGAATATTTAAAGCGAAAATGCTTACGTCGGCACATTCTACATTATTTGACTGAATTATGTAAACGTTCATGCGGAGAAGTCACGAAGGAGAAAATGATTGTGACTCCTAAACCAACGATCCGAGCGAGAAAGAGCGGTACGCGAACAAAACAAAAACTCCAGCATTTAAGTACTAACTGCTTGGACCGAAAAAGGTAGCAGCGACACATACCTCGAACAAAAATTATCATTTAATTTTTTTTTATTTTAATTCAAGCTGAGGGAAGTTTAAGAATAGCGTGTTAGCCCCACACTGAGGAAGACGTCTTGGAAGTAATCGAAGGACGTACTCAAACAAAACACATTTTATTGGTTTCCATTGATCTGTTTTGGTTTCTAGAAGACAAAGTTGATTGGTTACCATAAGGAAATTCCTCTCGACACTTCATGGAATGCACAAAAAACATGATTGCGGTAAAAAAAAAGTCAAATTTTTGCGATACAGATATGTATATATCTATATTTAACAAGCCTTTGGTTGAGTGATTTTACGGACAGGAAGACTTCACTCGGTAAACCATGCAAATCTACGTGATGAATGTAAAAGGTTCGAAAGAGGCTAAATAGATCTCAGTTTCTAACACTGAAGACTATAAAGAATGCTTCACAAAGCGATGGAATGAAAAACAATTATTTATCACAATTTTTCTGGAATCGTTTTGGCTGCCGACCTCTTATATTTTGAAATATAAGAGAGAGCAAAAATTTAGATTCTTTCTTGTCGGTCTTACCCTCAATTTCGTTCTGCTCTCAAGGTGAACAGACATGCGGAAGTCGAATCGCATATTTTTCATCGTTCGAACTCAGGTTCTCATTATCACTCACTGACCTTGTCGTAAGAGAGAGTTTAGGTTAAAGAAATTTCCCTTTTTCTTCACAGGTTCCTACATATTTCTGTGGTACAGGGTGACCAACCACTGAGTCAGTTTTTCATTGAGAAAATGAAGTCAAGAGGGGTTGATATTTTCAACAAGCTTAGACAAGTACGTAACTTTTCGATTAAAGGAAAAGAAAAAACTGTAGATTATCTGTCAAGAGTGTAAAGCAAAGAAGGGAAGCGGGTACAATGATTTCATTTGGCGACAAAGATATAAATGTCCAGGATTATGTTTATTCCTTTTCATCCTCATTAATTGTTAGCAACTTTTGTTGCCGATAGCAGCGGCGTTCGTGACACGTGTTACATGTAAACCTAAGATAAATTTGTAATATTGACTGACTATGAGGTCGATATGGCTTGATATTCACCGACCTCTTTAACAAGCTGATGAGAGAGCAAGGCCATATCAAGCCAATTCGACCGAACTTGGTCAATACACCGTATTTCACGTGGCTGCAAAATCGTCTTCGAGTAAACGAAGAGAACGAGTCACGGCGAGAGATATTTTCAACCCAAGAAGATGAAGTAACATCTACAGAAGGAAATTTGATGTCCCCGCGATCGCTCGCAGAAAGAGATGCTCACGGCCAAAGACTTTCAACTACAGCACGGTAACTCATCAATAACCTTTGTTTTTCAGACACCGTTACATCTTGCTGTGATTACTCATCAAAAATATCTTGTGGAAAAGCTGGTAGAGGGCGGAGCGGATGTTAATTTGATGGACAGGCACGGACAGACCGCCCTTCACTTGGCCTGTCAAAATGGTGACATCCATTCTGTCCTAGCTATTCGTGACGTCACACATAGATGCCACATGCAAATAAGACTGGATCTGAAAAATTTCCAAGGTGAGCACATTACGACAGTACCACGAGGAGCCGCGGTTGATTGAAGTTCATGATCTACGGAGCCACTACTTTACTTTCAGCTGATTCGTTGCCGGTTGATGTCTGGTGACCCCAAGTTTATGGTGAACCTAACTCTAAGCTGTTGCATTTCAGCCATGGATTGGATCAGACGTATTGTTCGGCAGGCATTGCACCACCCTCATGGGAGCCTGGCCGTTCACCTTAAATATTAAAAAAAAAACTAGCTGATTCATTTTAATGGAGGGCTAACACTCGAATGGTCAGCTGCAGAATCTCTCTTCGGTAGCCAATTCACTTAAACCGGGGAGCCGCAAGTGGGAGTTTTTCCTATTACGGTAAAAAATCTCTCGCGGCATCACCTCTTGTTTTCAAAGCTTTGCTACTTGATGCCTCAACACACTCACAAATCAGACAGCGACGCAGGTTCAAGGTGCAACTGAAATTGTGGTGTTTGCCAGAATGTCACGTTTTGGTCGAAGTCGTTTTATTGGACTTCTAATGATGGTTGGACTATATTATCTGGAACATCATATTTTTGAGTAATGCACAAGCCTGGGGCCGTTGTTTCAGTAGTGGCACCTGCTAATCCTGGATTAGACGCTAAATTCAATTGATTTTGATTAGTCTTGTTGATAAAAGCTTCGGTTGGGGTTAACGGTTTGTGGGGGCAAGCGTGCTGTCATGAAAAACTGAAGAGAGCAACATCTAAAAAAATTGAAACTAACCTTGGGATAATCTTGAGTTAACTTTAACGTGATTTGACCAAACCAGCAAAGGTCTATTTTTGAAGAAGTAATGCTGGCCTTTTACTTTTGCAGGATTTTCAGTGCTTCATGTGGCGACTTTGAATGGAAATAAACAGCTTGTTGAAACAATTCTTGACATGGGAGCAGACATTAACGATCAGGTTATTTACCAATTCGTAACTCACTTCTTAATTCGTAGTTTCTAAGAACAAGAGACGATGAGGTAAGGAGACTGAAAGCTTCTATGTTGTCTTCCCATTGTGCGCCGGTCGCTCTTGAGTTATTTTTAGAACATGTCCTAAGATTTTCTAAGATTTGCAAGACAAACAGTTGGTTTGATTTTATTGTAGTCTAGAATTCGATCGGCTTTGCTCTACGACGCTCTGTGATTTTTGCAATCAGTTGCAAAGCTTAGACAAATCGCGACTTGATCACCCCTGTTTTCTCGCTCTTCAGACAATTAAGGTCATTCTCCTCAAATAGAACCCCTTCACCCCTCGAGATTTCCGTGAAATATTACATATTGGTTGTTTATCTTGCAGGGACGTAAATTTTAAAATAAAAAATGGGATCCCTGTGCTCGTCTAAGAGCAGCAGTGCCCTTTAGATAAACATATAACTACTGAAATCATTAAAAAATTTACAATTTTCTTGATTGTGATTGGTTTTAAAAATTATATTTTCCACTAATTTACATGTCAATTTGTTATTGGACGGTCTGTCATCGGACGATTCAATGGGCCAATAACTTTCAAGGTTGTAATTTATATCAACCAATCACATTCATTTTGATTGCAGTCAATGTCAGAGCAACGTTAAATAATTAACGCCTCCTTAGTCAGTCTTTTAATGCAAATTAAGAAAAAGAAGCAAATGATAGGTAATTGTGCTTGTCTACCAGAAATTGTCTACCTCTGTGATAAACTCCGACCACGAAGAAAAACCCCCCATTTTTTTATGTGCGTGCGCTAGTTAACAATGAAATTATGCAAAGTTAGGATGCACAATGCAATAAGGCGGAATAGACCTGATTTGTCTTTTTTAGCTTTCATCGGCTTCATAGTGGTTGAGATTAACGTTAAGTTTTAACATGAAAGGAAGTAAAACAGTAACGTCGCTCAGACGAAGGATCAAAGCTCTAAACGTCAGCCTTTAAACTCTTTACGGTGGCCAATTTACGTTATCAGCTCAGTTCATAACACTAAATTACCCTGTTAAACAGTAACACTTGATAACTGATAACTCTTAACATTTCTCAGGATTCCAACAGTGGTCGTACAGCTTTGCATCACGCAGTGGAGGCTGGGAAAAATCATGTGGTAGAGTACTTGATAACACGTGGTGCTGACGTCAACAAAGTTACGTTCGCTGGAAACACTCCGCTTCACACGGCTAGCGGTCGGGACATGGATCAGATGGTGAAACTTCTTATTCAACACGGTGCCAACGTAAACATTGCTAACCTAGAGGGTGATATTCCGAAAGTGGGACAAACAAGTGAACAGGTAGGGGTTCCTCATTTCTTTTTAAACCCTGATTTAAAGTCTTTAAGTTTCATGGGCGCCTCGCACTTCCCACACTGAGCAGTGCCTCCCCCCCCGTCTCTCGAGTTGGACGTGATATGTCCTTAAAAGTTTTATAGCGGAGCTTGAAGCGCGCGCAGCGAAGCCCCATACTTATCAAGAATGGTATTCTTGCGTCAAATGTTGGTTAGTTGACAGGAAAATTTTAACCAAACTGCCTCTGCCATAATATTGAAAGCCAGTGCCGGGAGCTTTTCATGAAATTAGGAGTGTTTTTAAAAGAGCACGCCTTTGGGTTAAACGGATGGAGAAATTTAGACTAAATTTCTCAAGTATGTCTATTGCACTCGGTGCCAGTCTTCTCCATCCCTTACTGTAGTTAGTTTTGAGAACTTTTCAAGTAAGTATCAAAAACCTGAAAACCAAAGTATTCACAATGGCGAATCAGAGCAAAGGTAGACATCGTTATCAGCCAATGAGAACTCATAATAAAAAACAAGCAAACTGCTTGAAGCGCAGGTAAAGCGCAGGTGACCAAATCGCGACTGGTTTTCAGTTTCGCATCTGATTGGTTGAGGGGATGGTGCGAGTTTTCTGGACCAATGACAGAGCGAAGTAATACAGCAGCGGCGGATTGAGGGAGGCTTGGGTCGAGTCGTTACGCGCCCTTTCTCGAGGTTTTACTTCAATTAAAGAGAGTTTTGATATAGAATCTTCAGTGACAATGTTGTCATCTTGTTTTTATTATCAGGCGAAGAGACATTTCCGATCCAAAGAAAAACAAACCAAAAGGAGAAAAAAATGATCCTGACAAATTATCTGCACAAGATCAATCACTCTGACGGGAACTGAGGAACTTGGTTTGAGTTGACTGAAGTCGTGCTCAGGAGCCTGGGAAATTTGAGTCTTATGCGGTGTCGCTCATATTTTGTTGTGGGAATGCGCCGGCCGGAGTAATTACTTGCAACTTGAGATGCTTTGAACGTGGCCGTAAGCATCAAGATGGAGATGACAGTTCCAATTGAAAAGTTACAGTTCTAAACCATTAACGTTGAAAAAAAAAACCGCTTTCTCGCAATCGCTTCCTATGTTTACCTTTTATGTTCTTATGTTCACTTCCTAGCTCTGGCTTTCTGCTAAATATCCACTGCTTTGCTATTTTCACCAAATTTGAGTGCAACAGCACTTTGTCCAAACAATTATCACTGAACTTGGTCAAATCGGCTTTGCAACTCTTGGATATGATTTGGACTTGTGACTTACAAACTAAAATAGTCATGCTTTTATAAATTCACGGTGTTTTGTGGCTTTCAATAGATAATTTATTAAGCGGATATCACACACAAACAAGTAGTTTTTTTTAATCAAAAGTTTAAGGGAAGAAGATAAAGCATTTCTCGAAAATGAATGATTTCCCTAGTAATAGACAACTGTTTACATTTGGACAAAGTCTTAACCGCACGCATCATTTTAATGCAACATGTTGCAATATTATTGCGTGAACGTGTTACAAACGTTTGGCCACCCTAAGCAACATATTGAATGGTGTTGGATCAAGTTTGAAAATGGTCAAATTTTGTTGCAACATTTTTGGATTCTGCAAGATGATGCGCGCCTTTGGCCAGCTCTTTCACAACATCTCAAATATAAGATGTTGCGTTTAAAGGTTGCGTTTAAATGTTGCGTGTGTTCTTGGGCCATATGCATTAGATAAAGCTAGCAATTTACCTTTAATAAAGGAGTTGATTTTATCTCATGTTGCTGAGGTCGGAAATTAATATTGAGTTTTCCATATGAGAATTTTCCAGCGTGGTTGCATTTTATTCAACTTTTATTGCATTAAGTGAACAAACAATATTTGCTAAAGGTTTGACGAGGTAAACTTGTACACGCCATGAAATTATGAGTTGCGACATTACGAAGGAAAAGCTATCGATAAAAGCTGTTTTTCACCTATCGAAGTTTCAATATGAAATTTGGTAGGCTAGTCTCCTGAGTAGCTTTCTTTATTTTTGAAAGGATCAATACCAATGACATTTCCAATTGAATCGCAACTCGCCCACATCCATCGACATAAATTGCAGCCTGTCTTGCAGACGTTTGCTTTAGTTTGTTTCTCTATTCGACCCAGTGAATTTTACAGAAAAACATGGTATGGTGAGATTTGAAGTTTTGCATTTTAAATTCGTGATGCGTGAAAAACTGTTTAAAGTGCACGTGAAGCATGAATTTTACAAAAAGGCATGGTGTGGTGAGATTTTAAGTTTTCCCTTTTAAATTCGTGACGCGTGAAAAACTGTTTAAAGTGAAGGTGAAGCATGAATTATAAAGAAAGGCATAGTATGGTGAGATTTGAAGTTTTTCCTTCTAAATTTGTGACGTGAAAAACTATTTAGAGTGCACGTGAAGAATGAATTTTACAGAAAGGCGTGGTATGGTGAGATTTGAAGTTTTCCGTTTTAAATGCGTGATGCGTGAAAAAACTCTTTAAAGTGCACGTGACGCGTGAATTTTTCTAAAATTCGTGCGTGAAACGAAATCAAAATCCCCTTTTTGCTACCCTCCGTATAAAGCCAAGTTGACAAATTTCTTGTGATAAAATAAAAATCTCAAAAGTAATTCCTAAGAGGTTGTGGGTGCTATTCGTTTTTAAACACAAAAAGTGCCGCATCAAATAATTGTTGCGTGCGTAAGTACCCTCCTTTGAAATGACTGAAATTTCGTTATGAAACATTCAGTTATCTGAATGGAGAGTGCACGGTGGTCTAAAGAGGTTTAATTACTGCGAAGGAAGATTAGTTTAACAACAATACTCAAGTTATGAGATTTTACAATAGGCTTAACTAAATTGACCTCTGAATAACTCTCATTTACATCAAAGAAGCCCGCTTTAAAGTTGTCAAACAGTGTGACTGACAATACTGACTGAATTTCTCTTGACCTTCGGGAAAATTGTTGTAATTGGGAGCGTGCTTCTGAACGCCTTTATCCGCACAGAGTATAAGATAGGATTTAACACTGAAGAAAAACAAGCCAGGGTAGTTGTACCTAGCCATAACTGAGTGTCGGCCCAAAATTTTGGCGCTGAAAGGTGAATCGCCGAATCAATCAAACCTGGAAGCCAACAAAGTGCAAACGAGCCCGTCACCATAGCAACAGTCATGACGGCTTTGTATTCTTTCAGGAAACAGGGTTGGTGCTGATTTGAGCGGGTTTCTTGCACTTTTATCAATCTTTTCTGCCTGTTGGCTTCCTTGAAGATTCGCACGTAGAAATAGGAAATAAACACAAATGGAATACCAAAGATGCCCATAAAGAGGGCAAAATGGCCCTGCCCTGATATGCCACAGTTGTTTTTCAGTGATATTAATGATACTAGAAGGGATGAGGTCCAAATTACTGCGATGATTTTTCCGCACTTTCGTGGGGTAAGTCTACTTTGGTATTGAAATGGTGCAGTGACACCTACATAGCGGTCGTAACTTAACGCAAGAAGGTTTAGCGAGGAAGCAGACAGTGTCAAAACCACAATCACCGTGAACAAGTTATGCACGTTTTCCTCGATGAAGTGTGCCTTTTGAAGGAGTTTTAAACACCACACTGGCACACCCAATGTTGCAATCAGCAAATCGGCAACGGCGAGGGAAACAATCCAATAGTTTGTCATGGATCGTAGCGCAGGTTTGTGACAAATCACCAAAATGACCAAAATGTTTAAAAAAATCGCTGCAATTCCACAGACTCCCGACAGCGAAAGGATAGTGATCAGAGAACTTGTTGAGACAGTGAAAGAGTGTTGCGAGCAATCCTTGTGAAAAATTGTTGAATTTTTCATAATAGGAGCTCCTGGAAGCTATACCTTTCAGTGATTTCTACCTTGATTATCTTACTCTGCTCACGGAAAAGCTTCACTATCAGTTCGCGCAAAGAAGTAATTTCTGCTTTGTCATCGGTAAACGTAAGAATTGTCTAGCAAGAAAAAACTGAACTTGATCACTGCATCGAAAAAACAACAAGAAGTTTCACTGATTTCGCGCCTCTTAAAAATTCCTCAATCTTTTGAGAGGCGATCTTCCTTCTTTTGTTTCGGAGGATCGTTCGATTTTCAATGTTAGAAGCTTGTTGTGCCGCACATTAGGACTTCCACATATCCGGAAGCCACTTTAAAACCAACACAAATGACGCTGGAAAAACAAATGACACCTGCCAAACTAGACAAAGCATGATCTATTTCTTTTATAAATTATGCATATTACTTTTCTATAAGGTTACTCTCCGTCGAAGATTATCATTTGAATATCAATAACTAGCCATTCTTTTTTACAATATTTAATTCGTTTTCACAAATAAAACCTCTAGTTCTATGATGCCAGCGGGAATGTTTTTGACGCTCTTCGAATCACATAAATTTATGTTTTTTTTCCTTATCGAGATACTTATGCACTTAATTAACCAAGGATATATTAAAGTTATTAGGTTCCGGGGCAAATGCAAACAACAAGATCGCTGTCTAGTCCATTTACGTGAAATTTTCGCATTGTGGACAATTCTGAGGTTAAAACACACGTTTTTAGAACATCACTTTCAAGATTTGAGTACGTTAATGACTTCTTCGGCAAAATTGATGATAGTGAAATCTCAATTTTGTTAAGTTTTTAATGAAACTTTCGTTATTGACTTCTGAACGAGACAGTAGAAAAGTCCATTAAGAAAATTATCAGTAGTCATCTACGCTAAGTGGAACGATTCCTTTCAATATCCGTGTGAAGTACACAAGTTCGGATCGTATAAGTTTGAAAGGGTTTTCATACGCTAAATTGCATGTGTGTAGTAACAGCCGCAAGCACTGATACAACAACGAAATATTGCGGTAAAACGAACAATAGAAAACCCTTTTGGCGAAAAACAAAAAAAAAATGGGAAAGAAAAGAATAACAAACAAAATAAAGCAGCGATAGTTCCAAATTTACATAGAGCAAAGGAAAAGACTCATGAAATGATTTATTTCTTCAGTTGTGTAGCTGCGCGTCGATAATTAAAGTAGTAATGTAATTTTTTTTAAATGAACGAAAAGTTCTGCTATTTCAGTTAAAAAACTAACATGCAAGTTACTCCTGCATTTTTAGGTTGACTTGTGACAAATTTAGAGGGCGCTTGGGCTTTAGAAAGTCTAAATTTGAAAGGTAAGAGCGTCGGATATCAATTCACAATCATTTGAAATTACTCCGCACTCGTTTTTGAAAATAAGGACCTGGTAATGATCTGTGATATAGGTTCTTTGCGCGGATGCATCAAATTGAAACACCTCAAGATTTTCAGTTTTAAAATCGATGTTTATGGTGTTAAATGTTTTACCAGCTGCATCACGACAGCTGGTTCCCTCGGTGCTGTTTTCAAACCTATATAACTCAGATATCGGGTATTCTATTTCGCAGTATTTTTGGGACGATGTTATTCGTTTTCTACCCTAACATCAGTATGCATATTCTCCACACTGTTCTCTATACATTTTCTAAGGTACCGACAAGGAGAATTTATCCAACAATCAAGACCTTCTTTAGTTGGTGATCATTTCCTTTATTCTCATGACCATGATGTGGGATTCAAGGCTGATATTGTAGGGAGAAACTAGATGCTGGTCACTCTTTGGGGTCATAAGGTTAAGATACATCATTTGCAAAACATTAACTTGGTTTCTTTTAGCTGTAATAAACCAAAACTTTTGAATACGGTCAACAAAACAAAAACAAAAAAAGGAAAAACAAGCTGTCCAGAAGACAGTTTATCAAGACAAATCTCAACTGATGTTATTCATTTGCATAATAAAATAGACTAGTATTTGAGAGGCTTTGTCAGATTCTAGTTTTTAATATTTCAAGCTTTTCAACCAAAAAAATGAAAGAGCATGCTATGCACAGTATTCATCAAAGCTGGGTGACTTAAAAAATAATGTAATGAGGACTAACTCCCATTAAGTAGCTCCCCCCCATGATAACCTCTGCACTTCAGTTTCTCTTTCCCCCCCCCCCTCATTCTGAAAACCCTGTAAATTGATACCCCATGAGCCCTTCCCCACCCTCCTTGGGGAAGTGCTTATCACAGCATTAACAGTAGATCCATGGAAATTAATCAAAACCAACAGGTCCCTGTTGTTAATTTACACAAGGGTTCCTTGAGAGGGGATCCCCTTGGGGGTCAACTCTGTCAGTTTTTTCAGTTGTAACTTTCTCAGTTCTTCCTCTGATGGTAACAAAGGAGGCAGATCATTTCCAACAAATTCCACAATGCCCATCTTGGCCATATCTCTCTTTCGTGGTGGTATTTTGTATACTCTTGTGTAACCATTCACTTGATTTTCGTATCGCGGTAAGAGATGCCCAAACACCTTTGGTATCAAATTTTTCTTCTGTTAAAAAAAGGAATACAGTGTTAAAGACCATCACAGAGTTTGATACAATTCTTCTGCAAATGTATTCATCCAACGAATTCAAAACCAAATGAATAAAGGGTGTAAGTTTCTAAAGCATGTGTAGTGGTATCAACTGAGTTGAAAACATAAATTGACCACTGTTAAGAGTTTAAAGGCTGACATTTCAAGCTTTAGCCCTTCATCAGAGCAATTGACAAAGAATTAAAAACCACTTTGTAACGCACTGTAAACAGACACCATATCAGTTTGTTTCCAGCATTTCTAGACCATTTCAAGTTTTTTTTCTGCAACACTGTAACCTGTTAAAGGTCTAACAGCCCTATGTTAAGTGTAAATTAGAGACACATACTGTAATCCAACTGTTAATAGTTTCTTCATCTCCCACTTTAGCAAGATCAATCATCTGAAATTAAAATTCGATACAAGTTACTCACATACCCCATTTGCTATGAGCAACAACAAAAAATGAGACTACTTGGATCCAGAGGTGCATTTGGCCCCATTCACCATAGACTACAAGCAGTCCCTCCTTTCCAGTGAAGTCTCTCACACAAATCCAATAACTCAGCAAAAAAATTGATGCCAAGAGTTCCATGAGGCATTCTAAAGTGAATTTTATTAGGCCTGATTTTTTGTGACTTTATGGGAAAGACTATTGAAGAAAGATGGACGGTTAGTAGTCTAGATTCACCAAGTTCAACTTGAACTTCAAAACTTATGCCTGCATGGTTGCAGTTTTTCCTCTTGGTTTTCTTGCTGCCCTATGCAATATTTTGATCCTGAGATGTTAATTAACCCTCCACTCCCGAGATCTCATTAATAATTCTCCTTACTGTCTATACAATTTTTATTATGGTAATTCAAATAATTACCCAATTGATATTTTTCTTTATTCTCATCGCTTCTCTGAGAGATATTGTATTGAAATTGTAAGGAGAAATTCTCTCTTGGTCACTCATGGGAGTCATAGGGTTAAGAGACCTCCGCATGCTCTTGCATACTCTAAACATACCGCGAAAGACATGGGTGTCTGCTAAAAGATTTACACTTTGAGAAATACTTTGTTTGAATGATCAGAGACAGAAATAATTGCAAGATTAGCGAGCTTTCATAGACCCCATGGAGGAAAAACACACACACATCACAGTAAAATGGGAGAATTGAGGAGAACCTGGAGATTGACAAGGTTTCATTTCCCTGGTATTCACATTATGTACCGCGTGGATACCTACTCTTTCAGCAACTCGAGATAGATCATGGCATTTGTTGAGCGTTGTCTCTATCCTTTCATATTGCACAAGTGCAGTGATGAGTTTTTTATAAATATGCTTTCTCTTTTCCTTATTCTTCGGTTTGAATTTCAGCAGATTCTCCAATGGCCGTGTCCTGATGGCCGCCATCTTGACAACTTGAAAACTCAGCCAGCGCATTCTATTTTCAATAAATCCGCTGGGCATACAAAACGTGGTCATGAAATTGCTGAGCAGCCAGGCGATTTCCACACGATAAAGATGGCTTCCATGTTACTGAGAGTAGCCGGTGAAGGAACATTCCTTAGATCTCTGGTTCCATGCGTGAATTTAATACCAGTGCGTTTTAGGGTGCGAAGAAAAATGCCATCAAAGATAAGAAACAACCCTTTTGTTCAAAGACGCACGGATTTCATTAAAAAACTTGTGTTAGCTCTGGTACAACACGAACGGATTCAAACTACAGATTGGAAGGCTCAGCAGTTGAAGAAATATGCCGAACTGGTAAGGGTAAAGGTAGTGCGTTTAATTAGGTGCGATTTTAACCATTTCTTAGGATTGGTTAAGTTTGACTTTTCGAGGTTACCGCATTTCCCACCCCACTCTACTCCCCCATCTCAGTTTCCATTTTCTCCCCACCCCTGCTGTATAACCCTAGCCAGCAATGATTGAACCTAGGTTCCTAGGTTCTCCAGGGGTCAGTGAATCAACCAATTGGATCATCATGTCTCCCACAGCAGCACTTTGGACAAGACCAACATTTAAATTCTCCTCACAGTAATACTGCTGAATCACTTATCAGGATAGTGAGATTAAAGGGAATGATCACCAACCTAAGAGGCTTTGATTGATAAAAAAATTCTCCCTATCAGTACCAGAGAAAATGTATGGAGGAGAGTGTGGATGTTGATGTCAGGATGTGAGGGGGTGAAAGCTTTAAAGCAAAGCTTATCAAACTATTTTGTCACTATAGGACTTGAGTGTGGTTCCACATTAAGTAAAATAGAATTAATTTTTTATGTTCTTTCTTTTAGATCTTTATGATGTGATAAAATGCCTTCCAACATTAGGATACTGGTGCTAAATCAATAATTTTATTATTACTTATTATTTATTATTATTGAGTTGTTGTTTTTTTTGGTATGTTGTTTTTAGCTTGTCATGTTGTCACTGAGACGTCGTCCACCACCTGATCTGGACATGATTGAGGATGGGTTTGTTCTTACTGAGGAAGAATCTGAGCAAAGAAGGCTTACAAGGCGCATTATAAATAGAAGAAGCAAAAAAGTGATTTTACCTGTACCAGACCTAAGTGAAGAAGAGTATGTTCAAAGATGTAAAGAAGAGGCTTCAAATATGTTGCTTGGGGTGAGAAAGAAAATATTCAATTTGTTTATTTATTTTTAAAGTAGTACAGGTATTTTAGTGCTAAAATCCTGGAGTTTTGTTTCTTCTTTCTTCTTCTGATGTCCAACTGTTTTAGTCCTAGAGTGACCAAAAAAAAATTCTTTATTCTTGTCACTTGTCTGCTTGAGGTTGTATTGATTTTGTAGGAGAAACTCTTGTCTTGGCATTCATGAGAATAAAAGGGTTAACAGGTTTAAGCTTGAAATGAAGATTTAATGGCTAAGCAGATAGTGCCCTGGACTCTAGTTCTTGCGCTCAAAATTTGAGTGCTGGCTGTGTCAACATGTTGTGTTTCCAGGAAAGACTATGATTTCACTGATAGATGGCTCATGGTTGTTTCTATCCCAGTGTGAAGCTTTGCATTCTTTAACCCTTTCACTCCTAAGATCTCATTAGTAATTCTCCTTACTGTCTACCTTACAATTTTTATGATGTAAGCGATGAGAATTTGGTATTGGATCAACTAATAATCCCTTGATTGATATTTTTCTTTATTCTCACTACTTGTCTGCTTGATATTGTATTGTTATTGTAAGGAGAAATTCTGCTTTGGTCACTCATGGGAGCAAAAGGTTCTCAGTACCCAGAAGCTTTAATTAGTGGTCTCTTAACTTGTTCTTATCAGGATTGTATTTCTTTTTAACAGAACGAAGAGGCACTAGAAAAACTTTACACAACACTTAAGGAACGATATCAAGAAAGATATGGCAATTTTGTGACAATTCAAACAATTCCCAACCCTCCCCACTCCCCTTACCCAAACATGGCATATGTTGAGTTAGTGGGGAACTCCCTACCCCCACTCCCCAGGTTGCCTGTGGTCAAGGGAGGGAATTGGGTTGTTTACAACAGAGATGATTATGAAGATGATAACAAGACTGTGGTGAAGAATTTCTTCAAGTGGATGGAACGAAGGAAAGTAATAAAAGAAAATGTAAAATCAAGGAAAAGACAATAAACAGGTGTAAATATAATAAAAACATAAATATTTTGACATATCATTGTATGTGAGTGGCTTTAAAACATCCGAAATAAAATACATCTGGATGGAAGTAGATCATGTACCCTTGATTGTGAAGAAGCTGATAATGGACTGTTACCCTCAACATTGGTAGTGTGGCTCAATAATATGATAATCAGTTGACACTTTGATAATTTTCTTTGTGTTTCCTTTTTGCAATTTATGTAATTCTGCTGAAGTTAGTCAGCTGTAATGAAAAAGCAGTATGTTACAGTATTGGTCATTGATAAAAAGATGTCAAAAATATTTCTACTGTGGGTCTGAATTATTTTCTAGTTATCACAAATAAAGTGTTCGGACTTGCCTTGTGCATAGCAGGGAAATGAGATTGCAATTTTTGCTTTCACCTCACACTTTCTCGACACATATCATCATGTATACAGCCATGCAGGTCCCCTCCAATGACAGGGTCCTTAAGCAGTCAGGACGGCAACGCCAAGGAAGACTTTGATTAAAAAATAAATTTCTACCTTTAATTAGAAGTTCAAAATAGCTGCATGTGTTCACCATCTCATGCGGCGCCACACCTCAACTTCAGTGTAACATATAAAAGAAGCGTTAAGTTCCAAATGGAAATTAAAGTAATTTGCCGTCGCGGTTTCGGTTCGCAGACGACGCAAATTGTGGTGATTTCACGTTGTTGTTTTGCGTAGGATGGCTAAGAAATGTACAAAGTTTTAAAACGCAGGTGCTGAGCTATTGTTCTGCCAATTAGATCTTTTGTTTTTTCATGTCTTCGTTGCCGTTACCGTTGTCGTCGTGGTTTGCTTAAGGTCCCCAATTTTGGAGCTCACACCCTCCCTTTTGCAAAAAGTGATATTGAAGTTAATGCAACTGCATCATACATTTGAATTGGCCAAATATTCAGCATGGTGATATTTTCACGATCATTTCATGTGGCTCTCATTTGGCTTATTAGATTTTGGAGAAAGGGTGTAATTGTGGTGCAGGTTTGGTAAGGGTCATTTCAAATTAATGTGTTTTCTCTCAAATGAGTTGATATTGTACATAGGCTACTGTAAACAGTTTCTAAAGCTAACATGCAAGCATTAGCCCCTTGTCAGGGAGATGATGAAGGGCTAACACTCAAAATGGCAGCCTTAGAAACTCATTAGGGAGGCCAATTTCCATTAGCAACTCAGTCTATAAAACCAAATTATCTTGTTATTTGTTTGGCGGCCAGATTTAAAGATGGCAGCTCATGATAACCTGCTCACTTGGCCAGGAGTAAGAATACTTGTGATAAGATACCACAAATCACTAATCATAAAAAGTTTCATGTTATTTTATTTCAAGTGACTGGGAAATAAGAGTCAGATTTTGTAATTTTGAATACAGCGATGCATGTGTATGTACATAGCGTTGACTAGCGTTGAATTCACAAAATTCTGAGACTGGAAACATATGGTGAATTTAACATGGGCAAGAATGATTCTTTCCTTTTAAAAGAAAGTGTTTCAGAAATGTTACACGAAAATAGGACAAATTTAAGATGTGAAGTTTTATCCTGTCAACCAGCTGAACAAACCAGCAATTAATTTGAATTGTTGATTTCAACATTAGAGTGCTTTTTAATCGAGCGATGTCGAACAAAAACTAAAGTGATCACAAAAGCTAATCACAACAAGGCAAATTAACGCAAGGAGCCAAAGAAAAGGCAAAGTAAAAACAAGTCAACTGGATAAAGCGCGGGAAAACGCGGGTAACCGTGGTGCGATTGGTTTTAGGTTTTGAATCTGATTGGTTGAGAGAGTGGCACGAGTTTTCTGGACCAATCACAGAGCGTAGTAAAGCAAAACCAATGCAATTCCGGCTCACTTTCGACACAATTAAAAATTGCCCACTTTAACAAGAACTATTTTGCCTTTTCTTATTTCAGAATACTTCTTAAAGTACTACAACAATTTAAAAAAAAAAAAATATTTCTAAATTTAAGAAATCTCTTTTTTTGTATTACAAACTACGTCAGCTAACCCAGGCAATGTAACTTGTTTTCCAAAAAGCTATATACAACGCGATTGCTTCAACCTAACCTAAAAACTTGACACGAACATAGCGCTTATCTTATACAATGTACGGAATAAGTTAAATTGCTTTAACACAATTACGTATACTCGTTAATAACTTAATAAAATATTAAATTTATCTTTGAGATAACAATAAAACTTCAGATATCTTAGCCTGCAAGTAGCTCCTCATTTTAAGCGTAGTGAGGCACGCTTTTCTCCGGGAAGATTGAGAAGAGTCGGGGAGCGGTTTGCGAGGGGTCTGGCACTTATGCTCCAGGCTTCATACTTTCCGGCGGGCGAAGAAATGCATGTACCGAAGCACGAGTAACGAGGGCTTTCTCGTAGGCTAATGATATCTATAAACTCTCTTAGAAAATAATTTCATTCGATTTTGTACATTACTAAACTAAGATTTTTCTCAATTATTTTAAATTTTGTTGTTAATTTTAAATAAAATTAATCATAAAGTTACTTTTTCAAAGGAAAATAATCCACCTGTCCGTGATTGGCTGAAAAAAAGTTGACGCCGTTTACAACCAAATGAAGTGGTAATAAAGATCAACCATGATTGGTCGCGCAGATTTTCGCGCCCTTACTTGCGCTTGCCGCCCTTGATATTATGTTGTCGGCAAAATTCTTGATTGGCTTATAAAAATAATTTATTCTAAGTTTTCTATCTACTTTTATAATTATAACTATTCTTAAAGCAAATGGGAATGAAAAAAAAATTGTCTTGGACTTCGCTTTCGTTTCCTCTGACAACAAGAAGAAAGTGATCAATTTTTGAAGTTTGCCGTTCGCGCAAACGTGGACTTAACTTTCCTTCAAGTTGAGCTAGGGCTTTCCAAAAATCTTGTGGAAAGATTTCTTGACTTCACGACGGAAACTAAGAAGTTATAGCTTCTATTTGAGTATTTGAGTTGCGTTTAGAGTGAAAGATTCACTGTCGATTTACAGTTTCCCCACTTAACTTACCCAAGAAACTGTGGGACTTTAGACTGATACGGAGACGGAGCCCGCGATATTTCCTCACAGCGCGGCCTCGCCTTGCGCAAACTCATTTTGTGTAGTAAGATTATCGATTCCTAACTCAGTTACAGCACTCTGGATGCTTGGGTCGGTGACTTGGTTGTCGGACTGTAAGCGACCTGATATCAAAAGAATAAAAAACAGTAAGTTTGATAGGTCCACGTTAAAGGTGGTTAATTTGAATAAAGAGAGATTTTGTTCGTTTATCGCGGGCATGGAAGTTATAGGAGGACTCGAACCGGATACTCTGAAATATCACAACTAGATGACCTGTCAACTAAGTCGCACAGAACTCTTTAGTGAGAGCGTTTTTCCACTGAGAGTCGTACAACCAAACCACAGTAATCAAAACAGCCAATCAGAGAAAAAAATATATCACGATCAGCCAATGAGAACTCACGATAAAACACGGAAACTGCTTGAGGCGCGGGAAATCGCAAGTGACCAAGCTGTGATTGGTTGAGGGAACGGCGGGAGTTTTTTATGGACGAACCACATAGCGAATCGCATAGTGATTAGTTGTTAGTACCACATAAACTGCGAATTCAAGGAAGAAACAGTACTAGAAGGTTAACAGTTAAAGCCGCAAGACAACTGCAACAGCAACAAGCAAAGAAAAACATGTAATCACATTTATTTCACTTAAGCGTCAATTAAACACAGTTTTGTCACAGTAAATGGTATGATCTCGAGGGTAATATAGTGTAGCCTGATCGTCCGGGTGAGTGTAGTCCTGAAAAGAACTGTTGTCGGTCATAGTGATTGACGTTTCAACAACTTGAGCGGAAGTCATCATTTACATCAAGAAGATGATGATGACTTCCGGTCAGGTTTTCAAAATGTCAATCACTTTTACCGACATCAGTCCATCTCAGGACTACACTCAGCCTGACGATCAGCCCACACTATCACAAGATTATTCTTTCGCGTAAGTGTTAAAGAAAAGCCGTATTTTTCACAACAATATGATTAAAACGTGAATATGAAAGCGATCTTCGCAGTAATGAACACTACTTGAGCTGTAGTGAAAATAAGGCCTGAAAAAGGGAAAAAAAATCAGGCCTGTACGGGTTTTGAACCCATGACCTCGGCAATGCCAGTGCAGTGCTCTACCAACTGAGTTAACAAGCCAATTGGGAGCCGGTCACTATGTTGGTTCTAAATAAACCCGTAAAGTGATGAATAAAAAAACGTATATGATTTTCATATATTCACAGTCATTCAATATGATTAAGCTTTACTAGGAGTGGGTTAGTGCAACACAAAGAATGCATTATTGTTATTTTAGTAGGTTCAGTTTGAAATAAGAATTCAATTATTTGTGCGAAAATTTCAACGCCACAGCGGAAAAGTCTAAATGTAATTTCCAAGCTAGAGAAATTTAAGGAAACTGGCAAATGCTTAAAGCAGAGGAAAGAACGAAGAATGAACCCAGTTGTGCAAGAATTGTTGCTTAAACGGTTTTAGCCAACAGACCGGGCGTCACTTTTTCGCGATTATCGGACGAGTAAACGCAAATAGAGCGTGAAGAAGTCGCGCGGAATAGTCACGCGCTTCATTTTCCCGCGCTATTCCTCGTGCAGCCCTCGCGCTCGTCTTGCGTGTACCTACAGTCTCCTGAAAAAAAAAAGCTACAAGACAATCGAACAAAGACAACAACAACAACAAAAATCATATAAAAACTAGCCTGTTTAGATAACAAAACAAAGTGCGTTGGTAAAGGAGTGGAGAAGCGCGGGAGGTTTTTATTTCGCGACCCGACCCAAACCTCTCTCGAGGGGTCTGGGTTTGACCTCTGTCCATGTCAACCTCTCTCGTTTTATCTCTCAGGCGCTACAGTAAGTATCGCTCCGTTTAACTGACCAAATACCTGGAATAGAGTATATTATAAAACAGAAAACAAAAACAAGGAAAGACGCTTGTTCTGCAGGCTGTTGCAGCTTTAGTGAGCTAGTGAAAAGTGCCAAACTTTTTAGTGATGTGTGATCTGGGACATTAGTATCACACCATAAGCATTGATTCAAACGAAGCAGTTACAGACTCGAATGATACCTCATAAAAATAAATTGAACCAGAGGCCTACCTTGTGTATTGGGGACATTTTTAGCGTCGTGTGCGCGCCAACTATTTAAGGACCTACTTCGAAGGTTCCTCGTAGGCCTAAATACGAGGATGTAGACCTTGGGTCCAAAAATACACAGTAACAGAGTTGTGGCGTTCAAAGTCGTATTAATTGCAAGTGTTATGGTAGCGTAGTCTTTGTTCACGCCTATTTGTACGGGAAGAAACGCCACCCAAATGATGCAAGTTGTGTACATGGCAAATCCGATGTATCTGGCTTCGTTGAAGTTCGCTGGCGTTTTACGCGTTCTAAAGGCGTAGAATGTACAAAGAATGATAATCAAGACGTTGTACGTCAGTGCGAAAACCAAATCGTAATCTTCAATGTTGCATATCAGTAAAACGTCTTTATTTGTTGGGTAGGCAAGGATTGTTTCTGGAGGCCATTTTACTAGACCAATGACTGAGAACACAATGTCGATACTGACAAAAACTGTCAGTATTGCAATCTGTGACGCTGGATTGATGAAGAGAGGAGGTTTCGTGGATCGATTGCTCCTCTCGAAAATTCTTGCGATTCGATTGGTTCGGATGAGAATGGAAGCATAACATACACAAAACGAGAATCCCAGGCCAAACCGCTGGATGGCGCAAATGGAGGGCGAAGGCTCGGCCAACATGAAAAACGAAAATGTATAACAAGACAACAAGCCGAAGAGTAGTGTGCATGACAGTTCCCTTCCGGAGGCTTTCACCAGAGGGGTGTCGTTGTTGATGAGGAATAGGGTCCCAACAAATATTGTGCACATGATGCCGAGGCCAGAAAATAACATGACCATAACTATCCAGCTTCCGGCAATGTTACGTCGAGGCAGTGGTTCACAGCCGTTCCTCTTGGCATTAGGCCGTTGTCCTTTTTGGCACAGTTTGCAACTTGTCTCATCTGCGGATTGAAAGCAACGTATGCCTGAGTAATAGGACCATGATTAACAAGATCGGGTCAGATTAAAATATCTCCCCTCTCATAATATAGCCTCGTCTCTCTATTTTCGTCGTAAAAATATCGATGTTTTAAAACGTGAATATGGACTGAGCGAGCGACAGAGATCTCGGGCTTTTCTCGGTAACCAGGCTAAAAACAAATTTCCTGTATTTGAATATTCAACCCGATCACTGCGATAAAATCTCGGTCTCCGATCTGAAATAACCTATTTGGAGTTTCCCCGCTCACCAAGCAAACCCAGTCCAAGGGCCATTTTGGTGAGGACCTTACTTTGCAGGTAGGCAAAATGGAAAGACAAGTTGAGATAGAATACCATCAAGGAAACAAGAAAAAGTATAAAATCAAGTAAACAACGGTTTTCTGAATCATTTGTTTCAAATCCTAATAATTTTATATGAGGGCGTTTTATAGCGATACGACCCTCATTCTCCAGAGCCTTGTTTTAACAATGTTCGGTTAAATCACCAAATGGTAAAGCTCATTTATTTTGAGCTAATAGATATGTCTCATGCCCTACAAATACAGCCACATTAAGCTTACAAATGTATTGTAAGCTCAAATAACGATTTTAATTCAAAAATAAAGCATAATGTAAAAGACACCTAAACTGACGGAAAGACAGACAGACAGACGAACGATTAAAAGACAGGCTGTCAGACAAATGACAAAAAAACAAACATGCATAAAAACAGACATACAATCAGGCAGACAGACAGACCATCAGACAGATAGACAGTTGGGCAGACACACAGTCAGACAGACAGTCAGACCATCATACAGGTTGGCAATAAAACTAGCACACAAGTAGATTGTCAGACAGATCATAAGACACACAGAGAGACCATCAGACAGACACACAGTCAGACACAGACCTAAAGACTATCAGAAAGACCATCAGACGGACAGACACACAGACTATCAGACAGACATACAGACAGACCTAAAGACCATCGGACACACACACATCAGACCGACAGACACACAGACTATCATACAGACATACAGACAGACCTAAAGACCATCAGACACACGGACCATCAGACGGACAGACACAGACGATCAGACAGATAGACAGACCTAAAGACCATCAGATACACGGACCATCACACGGACAAACACACAGAATATCAGACAGACATACAGACAGACCTGAAGACCATCAGACCGACAGACCTAAAAACCATCAGACAGGCAAACAGACATACAAATAGACAAAAATATAAACAAACACAGACCAATCACGTGGTGATTACCTTCTACATAATAATCCTCCGCACAGCGTTCGCAGTTCCAGCAACAAGATCCCTCCTTGTCAAAAATTTTTCGATACCCAGCCTCGCACGGTGAACTGCAATCTGACAAAGGAATCGTACCATTTTTGCCTCCTTGAAAAAGCCTCGTTGCGTTGTACAGCTTCCCATTCCAGGACGCAACTTTTCTGTATCGACTGCGTTCCAGGCGATAAATGTCGTATCGCCCGGGACCATTGCCGTTCTTATCAAAACTTACGGCGCCTGTCACTCCAGTAAAAGTCAAGTTAAAAAGCTCATCGCGCAGGTTTTTGCGTTCGAATTCTTTTAACATTCTTTGGCAAAGACCGTTCTGTGCTTCACACATGCGTTTGTACATCTTGTCCAAACCATATGCAAAAGCGTACACGGCGTCAATGAGAAAAGGCACTTTATCATCGATACGCACATCGCTTGCTGCCAGGGAATAGTTTTTAGAACAGGAACTTTCATTGTTTTGTAGTCTGCAGCCAAACTTCATCTCCCAAAACTCATCAAACCAGGGATTCACCTTGGTCCTGTTTGTGCCTGGTTTAAGAGAAGTAAAGTAGTTTTTGAACTTTGGATCATGGGCTTCCGTCAGACTAATAGTTATGGCGCCTTCTGCATATTTTTCTAGGCCTTTGATGGTCTTCTTTCTTGTTCCCCAGTAGTCGCTTGCCACCCATATGAAGTGCTGGGCCCTGTTCTGCATCTTCACCTCTCTGAGAAGCCTTCTTGCGTCTGTATCGGTACAAAACAAAATCACTCCACGGACTTGCTCATGTCTTCCAAAATCTGTTATGATGTCTTTTATTTGCATCTCGTTGTTGGAGCCTTCGATCTTATACGAACCCGCGATGCAAATATTTGCGGCTTTTGCTCCGTTCGAAAACTCTCGGATTCCTCGTTCACCATAAATCCCCTCGGAGTGGACTGTGAATACGGAAGTCCACTTCAATCCCCGGACAACATCGACCATTGCCCGGGCTTGGTAATTATCAGGGGGAACAGTTCGCATGAAAAAGTCGTATTTTGTTTTGTCACTGAGGTCAGGCGTGGTCGATGCGTAGCTTATCTGAGGCAGTTTGAAAAGCCGCAAAAGGTTCGCAACTTGAATAGAAACGGAGCTTGATGCCGCACCGACAACCCCAGCTAATATTTTGTTTTTCTTTGACGCCAGCGAAGCAGGCTTATACCCTGCTTCACAAATGGTCTTAGATTGCGACTCCATGACAAACTCGAGCGATTCTTCTAGCGCCTTTGTGTACCAATCGCAAGTGTCATAGGCAGACATACTGAGAGTTATGTTTGGAAGAAGATTGGGGTTTCGATTGATTTGATCTACAGCAAAGATCATAGCTTCCAAACGGTGAAATCCCCGTTCTATGTTGAGAGTGCCACATTTAGGAGGACCATTTTTGCTGACGTTTCTTGCATGGATTGGGAAAAGACCTCCAATGACTATATCTGGTTCGATTTCTGGCGGTGGAAATGTAGCCCTAACGCGATGCGTTCGCTCACTTGATCCATCGTGATGAGTCAGGTTGTTAGAAGGAGCAGCCACGCTTGATAACGACAGAAGAAACAAAGTAATGTTAACGAACCATGTAAAGATGTTTTTGTTGACACATCGACGAGAAGGAAACCCGTTGAAGTTTGGAAGCATAGCAGTATGTAACACGACTAAATTCGAGCAAAGAAGTCTTGTTTCTGTTTAGTTCATATTTTTGTTGCTGCTCGTCCAAACTGGTCGGCGTTTCATTGAAACGCAAATCAGCTCTGTTTTATTTGGACGCTGAAGACAAAATCACCTAAAAAGAGAAGAAAACAAACATCATTAGACAGCTAGATCTTCACAATTACGCTGTCTCTGGAAGGTGTCGAAAAGTACGTGAGTATTAAAATAACAAAATAACTTGCTTAAGTTAATCAAGGTCGAAGTTATTTCTGAGACAATGGACGGGAAAAGATTTTACTTTAAAGAATCCGAAATGTGGTTGAAATGTGGTTGGGGCGACTATATAATGTTAAGTAATAGCAAGCCAAAACAAGCTTTAAGAGATTTCAAATGCCGGAAACTTGGGCATGAAAATTTAGGTCCTAAAATCGATTTGATGTCTTAAATTCTATTCTAGCTACTAACCCAGGCTGCTGACCCTTCTGTGATCAGTAGATCAATTAAAACCATCACTGGCGTTAAGTAGGTAAAAAAGGTTAACTTACATCGATCAGCAGCAAGTATGAGAGCTTTAAATGCTGATTACCATTCAGCTAAAGACTTAAGCCACACGGCATAAATCAAAACATGCCAAATAATTAAAGCAGGAGTACCTTGCGAAAGCGCTAAATTTCACTACTGTCGACTGGGATGTTATCGATAACCGATCGTCTGTATTTGGGATTGCTCCTCAGCCTTGACCTTATTTCGTGCGCTGAAAATTCAAAAGCTTATCCGCCTTTTTGAAGTTTAAGGTCACAGAGATTTAGTTTTTGTCTGCCAAATGTAATGCCTGACATTTAATTTGAGAGCAATGAATTCTCCTTTCGAGCTGTTTGGGTTATCACTGAAAGTTTTCAACGCGCTAAGACGAAAAATGCAATCAAGAAAGCTATAATAATCTTACCACCTTCAATCTTTAACTGGGGGTTTTACCTGAAGTACACATCATGAATTGTAAATAAGGTCTTTCCGAAGAGAGCTTGTTTGTCCAATGTAACCTCAAGTTAAATTCTGTCAACACAACATCATCTGTAACGCTTTCGTTTGTAAATAATGTTCAAGATTGCAATATCCAGGGAACACGAGAAAGTTGCCGGTCTAAAAAGGCATTTGATAGTTCTTTGAGAGAGGTGATTTGCAGAGAAATCAGCGCATTCCTCGTCTTTTGCATTGATGCAAAGTAAACTTGTTTACGACGCATGGAAATTTTGGGTTATATCTGATAGCGACCAAAGTTCAGAATAAAAGATTTCAAAACAAAAAGATCACTGAGACAGAAAGAAAACAATAACCTTACTAATTTCCGCCGAGATTGTACGGAATCTTAATGAGTAACTAACTTGTTTACCCAGTAGATTAATTTTTGCAAGTTTAGCTGTTGTTCTAATGATGGATCGCTTTTCTACGATGTTTACATGGCTTCTACGAGTGCAGAGAATGTGAAACTTCTCAATGGCAGTGTAATGTAACAGCAAACAAGACGATGGATTCCAGTTATGACATTAATTTTCGAAATTCGATAGGAACAGTTTCAACTGAGCTCGCTCTGAAACTAATTAACAATTTCAAAGATAACTTTATCATTTTTTTACCGCATCATAGATTTTTTTTAATCCAAACCAAAATCAATAAGCACGCGATTTAATGAAAATTGCATCGTAGTAAAAATCGTTTTGAAAATGACGCAAAATTAGCAAAGAACTTAACTGAAAAGTTTGTGAGCAAAAGTTTTCAAGGCCAAAAAGTTTACTTCATAGATCTTGAAAGCAACCCCTCGTAATTCTCGTGTCGAACATGTCGCGGCTAATATAGGTGACTACAGTACTGAGCTGTTACGGCCTTTCATATTTTAATTTATTGATGAAAATTAATCACAACTCGGACAAAAAGCGGAATAATTTTGCATTGTATCTAAGATTTCAGGTGTTCAAGTTCCGCTTTCGTCTATGAATTTACTAAAGAAATACTGTAACCGAGAACTGCACTCGAATTAAAACATCGTGTGATTTCAACACTTGAAATCGAAATTTTATGATAAGTTGAAGAAACGAAATTTGGCTTCAGATAACTACTTGTTTATTTGATTTGTTCTTGTCCCAAATCCTGTTTACCGATAAACTCAGCAGGGATGATATATAATAAACATTTTAGTAGGTTGTAAACACAGACATCAATATTCCAAGCGTATTAAGACTTTGCCAGATCTGGAGATTAGAAAATCCATTTAGCCACTAAAAAAAACCTAAAATAATTTGCATATGCCGGAAAGTGACACTTTTCCGAGAATCATTTAAATTTAACGAGTCGATAGGAGTTATTTTGAGGAAGATCGGACACAAATTTGGCTTGTTTTTGTGGCAACGAAGTTATTTCAATATGATAGGGCAATAAAAGGGAACAAAGCTAGTTGAAATAATTCTTTTCTTTCGTCCCAATTTTTGTTATTTTTGTAACGTGACTTCGGCGGAGTATAACACTTGAAGATTTCAGTTGAAAGTCAACAGAAAAAACACCGAACATTCGCACATGCCCTAGAAAACAACTCTTTAAATATTGAAATTTGGTCTGAGAGAACTTACTTAGTTTCAGATCCTGAAATCCACGAAAGTTTTCCACTGAAGAAACTAAACTTTGGTAAACAGCAAACTCTTCTACGTGCTAGTAAAACTTTGCGGTTCGGCGCTACACCTGCGGTCGCCGATATTGGACTTGTTGGTTGAGATATCGAGACCCGCAGGTCAGGCACTGGAAGCATAACTTTACATACACATCATTTCCACACGTGATTTTAAGACGTTAGAAGTGTGACCTCGCTATACTTTCGGTATCCGTTTTCTTATGCTGAATGGCAAGACATTTGAGTAAAGTGGCTCTTTGTCGCCTTACAGTTAAATCTGATCTCATCACTTTACAGAACGGAAAAATTCTTAGTTGCTGATATTGTAAAATCGATTGCCTTTTTAGCTAGCGAACAATTTTCAAACAAGCGTATCAGCCATTTTAATAGGTAAGAAAAATTCTGTCAAACCGGCCCTGCGTCATGTTAAATGCTTTCAGTCACCCGATCAGATTCTCGTATCTGTCTTAAACCCAAGTTGACCGAGATGGAAAACAAGGCTTGCGTGATTCTTAGAAAAGAAAACCTCTTCAACGCTCTAAGAAGCCCACAAAAACCAGAAGAAACCAAATTTACAAAATCATTTCTCTGTCGACGACGCGGAAAAAGTTACGTTGAAATTGACATGAAACAACCATAAAAACTTGCCTTGACAGCTTAATTTTGCAATGTCAGATTTCGCCCACTTCTTGTCACGTTTTCTCTGTCTTCACTACAGGATGACCAGGAGCAAAATGAAACATTTCAGCGGAGCCAAGGTGTTTGAAGCTGCGAAAAGGAAATTTGTTAAAAACACGTGCAGAAATTAACATCAAATTGTTATTGCATTTTCGAACGATTCAGCACTTGGACCCGGAAATAGAAAACTTTTGATTTTAGACGTGTCTATGCACAGTTAAACAACAGAAAACGTAATTGAATTAAGCTCACCGGCAGAAGTTACGGTTATTGCATTTCACTACGAGTATGACAGAAATGTACCTTCACAGGCACTTGTGCGGAGCCCAGAGATAAAATCTAATCCCCAGATATTGGCTTAACTTCAGAGACAGTAACTTCAGCTTGCTACGTATTCCGCTTATTAAGATTGCATACAGGTATATGTACCACTCGTGTTACAGATTTGCCCTTGTTGACCCAGAGCTGTTGACTGATCTTTTTGACACGAGCGAAATAGAGCTGTTTTCTTTTTTCTTAGAAATGTAGATATCTGTAGGTAAACAACTAAGCGTGTTTCTTTAAAATCACTTTTAAGGAGTTCGTGCGACCGCCTTCATTGTCTCGAGGTTAAGACCGGAAAAAGACGAGATAAAGGTTCGAGAAAATACTTTTCCAAATTTGAACAAACTTCCTCAATTTCTCGCAATATTTTGGGAAACTTCAAAATGAAATTCGGCTTTCGAAAGCTTGCTCGAAAGTGCCCTACTTTACAAACCAGCTTTTCCAGCACGTAGGAACTTAAATCCAAATTTTCTTTCTAAAGGTAATTTCAGCACACGTTTTAAAAAAAAATCGCTCGCAAAACACTACAAAATAGTAACCTTAGAACGTATAAATAAGCTTAGATTTCCCAAAATTTACGACGATGAACAGACAACAGAGAAAACGAATTAAAAAAAAAACATTGGTAAATAATATAACTTGTTTCATTCCTTCGTTGGATGGAAAGAGCTCAGTGATATGTCTTCGTATTGTATAGTTTTACGCTTGTAAATTTCCTTAGTATTACATTCGTGCAAAAGGAACCTCCTGAAGCAAAATCTGAGATAAAAACGTTTGTTAGACATTTCATTTTGAGTAAAGGGCTGTTCAGCTAAGCACGTGCTGTTTTCTCCATTTCTGGGAATTCCAGGGTTCTGATTGGTTTAAAAGCATGTTGATTTTTTTTTTCAACTCCATCAATTTTCAATTTCCTTTAGAACAAAATAATTTGGTAAATTAACTAATGCCAGTTCACAATATATTTTTGTTGGATTCAAGCCATATTTATGAGCCACACAATAATCGACGTTAAATTAATCTGTGCTGCCTTCTCTCTGAGTCAATGCTTTCGACAAAACGAAATGATTTTGCGAAAATGACCACACAAAGCTTTACCAAATCATATTTGCCAAAATTTCAAGAAATTTGGTACAGTTCCAATATTTTTCAGAGAAAAACACGGAAGTATCTTTTAAATCTTTAAGGTCGGATCTGTTTCTGCTTTCTATTTATTAAACCCAGTTTTGCATATGTCAAAATCAAGTCAGAATTTACAAATTTGTGTTTTGGCTTGATTGATTTGGTGTGAAATTTAATTTGGCCTCAGCATCTTTTTTCTTTTCTTTTCATTTTCAACCAGATCATTTTGTCTCCATCAATACGAGGCACAGACCAACAAATTTTCTGTGGGAAAAGTAAATAAAAAAATCCCATTTCTGTCCCTCCTGGGTGTACTGCACAAACTCAGGATCATTTTGAATGAAGATTCGTTGATCCAATTTTTAAACCACACATCAAAAAGGTATAACAGTTTATCAACGAAGTTAACCACAAAACGAAACATACAATTGATAACCTACCGAAAAATATACTGGAATTCTTTCCTTTAGTCTTCACTAGCCCAGAGGGCAAACAATTCGCCATTTGCGTTTCGTGGGAGAATCTCCTTCTGGCCATTCATCAAAGGCGGTGACATTGGCTTCTCGAGCACACTGTTTACAGATTAGATGCGCTGCCCACAACTTTCATTAAAAACCTCTATTTACGACGTCGCATATAAAAGGTTTGTTTTAGTTGTCAGCTTAAGGGCGCAAAAAACCGCCCTTTAAGATGAGAGGAACTAATTTTTATGGTCGACAGTACGACTGACGTGAGCAAGATGTAAACAACTTTCTGGTGATGCCGGGCAATGAACGATGCGTTTGACTGACTTCTTGCTTTAAAATGAAACTGCGAGAATCGCGATTCGATTTTAACTGACAATAAAAGAGAGGTACTCCGCCTTTAATGGTATTTTAAAGATTCAATAAGAGCGATCAACTTTTTGTACCAACTTCAAAAAAAGTCGCGGGCGGTGTTTCATTAGTTTTGTGCTCAAAAGCTTTCTTTCCAAATCACCCCTCCAAAAATATCCCGTAGTAGTTTTCAAATTAACCAGCTACCATTTCGCGTTGTTTGGACTCCTTATACTCAATACTATTTAAAGAAAATTGAACAATTTCGGTAACCTCCGTCATGTATTGACAACTCGCAATTAGGAAGTAATTCGTCGTATGCAAACAAACCTCGAAGCTTGCCGCCTCGAAAATCAATCGCAAGTTCAAGTAAAGCGTTTTGCTCAAGAACTAAGAGCAAGCTATTAATTCTGAAAAATTTCTTAAAACCACGCAATAGAAGAGTTTTAGCTTGGAGATTCAGTGTTAAATAAAACAAGAAACTTCCTCGTTAGTGAAGAAAGAGAAAGGTTTCCTATTGACATATTCAAATGGTATTGATTAATACCGAATGACGAGAGGAAACTTGACAGCTGGTTCAATTTCGTGATTTCCATTTCAAAGCAAAACGCTGAGAACAAACAAAAATGAAAATAAAATGCACCATAAATTATATTTGTATATAAGGGAAGAAAAGAGTGGTCCATGATTAGAAGATAATATTATTTTGATCAGTTGTTCATACAGAACTTGTTGAACCATTGGACTGGACCAACGAGATAAAACGAGGTTCTACATAAAATTATTCTCGTTGCTCTCATAACGTAGCCATAGGAGGAAAGTGTGTTAATCACTAATTCATGAGTGAAATTGGTGCATAAATTACATCAGTATATTAAAGAAGGCCGGGGTTTTTTCAAAACCAAAACCGTCGAAATTAGAAATATACCTCCCAGCTCCTCTGTGCCTCACAGTGTTAAAATGGCGTCGCCTTATTCGATAACACCTTCCCTCATTTAAGTTTAGTCTCTACAGCAAGATAAAAATTCTCTCTACCTTCTAAAAATGCACGGGTTAAAATTGCTCGTAAAATTGTGTATGACAAATCGTCCTGTCAATAATATAATTTGAACTGACAATTAAAACCAGCCGCAGGTTTGGTTACAACAACAGGATAATTTACGTGTTTTAAAGCTGAAGTTTCGAGTGTTTGCCTTAAGCATCACATGAATGACCGAGTTTCATCATATAGAAATGGTTGATAATCTTACAGACCGGTATACAGTCAAGTCGCCCGAGAGTCATCTCGCCCGAAGTCATGTCGCCCGAAACCTGAGTCATCTTGCCCGAAATTTTAGTTATGTCGCCCGAAAAAAAAAGTCAAGTCGCCCGAAGAAACAAATACTACAAAGATCAGAATTTCAGACTGTTAATAGGCAATAACGTCGAGAAATTTTTATCACTAAAGCGCTCTTTGTTTCCGACAACACCATGAAGATTCTTAGAGAGTTGTTCATTCCTAACAACAAAGGGAAACGTTGTTCGTTTCCAACAACAAAATGCAGCGTTGTTCGTTTGGTATGTAATCGTTTCTTACTCACGGACGTTTCGTAAGCTTGAGAAACTCTTTCTTGGTTTCTAACGATACCATGAAGACTTTGACTACACAGAAATCGATCAGATGTTCGGAATTGAAATATGTTTGAGTAACGATGCTAAAAGCGTGGTTTGTTTCTAACAACAAAGGGAAGCGTTCTCCGTTTCAAACAAAAACATGAAGCGTTGTTCGTTTGGTACGTACTCATTTCTTACTCATGGACATTTCGTAGGCTTGAGAAACTTTTTCTTGGTTTCTAACAAAGCCATGAAGACTTTCACTACACAGAAATCGATCATATGGTCAAAAAGGCCATATGATCGACCGTAATCGTCGCACTGTAGGGCTTGGTGACGTGGTCTAACTTCATCATCACACTCAATGCAAGGATGAATGCTCATTTTGATCAGTTCGTATTCGTATTGTAGCTAGCTTTACCCTATTCATATATACTTTGATCGAATCAAAATATAAATGCGACCGCCAGAGGAAACAGAGCACAACTACATAATTTTTGCCTATTCTGATCCTAAGGGAAATGATGCTATCAGACTACTTCTGTGAAAAACGTCACAAGCATAAACAATAGACTGTTATCTTAAAAATATCACACTTACCTTACGCAAGGCAACAAGTTAATTTTACTTGTATGTTACTCGTTTTACCTTTTACCGACTTGTCGAACGCGACAATCGAAATTCGTTTACCAGGTGTTTTCATCTGTTATTGTCAAGAAAGCCACAAATAGACACAACAGAACTTTACTTGTATGTTTCACTGCATCCATGCATTTGTTGTTATAGAAACGAACAACGCTTCCCTCTGTTGTTAGAAACGAACAACGTTTTTAGAGTCGTCACTCAAACATATTTCAATTCTGACCATACAATCGATTTCTGTGTAGTCAAAGTCTTCATAGCATTTTAAAAAACAAGAAAGAGTTTCCCAAGCTTACGAAATGTCCGTGAGTAAGAAACGAGTACGTACCAAACGAACAACCCTTTAAGAATCTTCATGTTGTTGTCGGAAACAAGGAGCGCTTTAGTGATAAAAAAATTGTCAACGTTATTGCTTATTAACAGTCTGAAATTCTGATCTTCTCAATATTTTTTTTTTCGGGCGACATAACTAAATTTCGGGCAACATGACTCAGGGTTCGGGCGACATAACTTCGGGCGAGATGACTCTCGGGCGACTTGACCGGTTACCTACAGACCCTGCTCTGTTTGGTAAGTAGCTATTTACCAGAGTAACCTGCTTTGGATCTCATAAGTAAGGAAAGTAAAAACCAAATGAAAAAGTAGGATTTTAAGCTGTTACCTAACAGCATAATTTCTTACAGTTAGTATATTTAAATATAGTTTTTTATATAATTACTAAAATATCATAATTATACAGACCCAGATAGTGGCATAAAATCATACAGTATGTAGACCAACATATTTAAATATTATGTTATTACATAATTATAGCAGAGCTCGCAAAGCGTAGCCCCATAATTATACAAAATAGTAGTAACCCATCAAGCCAAAAAAATTTGGATGTACGACCGTACAAGGTGCTACTTTTAGCATGCGTGGTCAACAGTACCGCGGGCACGCCAGTAGTCCAGCGGTCAGTGCACTGGGCTCCGAGTCGGACGACCCGGGTTCTACTCCTCCTACTTCTACTCCCTTGAAACGTGCGGGAAAAACAAAATGCGAGCTCCGCTTTTAGGCTTGGCTAAATCTATATATCATTCCCAAAAAATATGAGGAATGGGGATAGAAAGCCACGGGAAGGGATTCTTAGGAGGACTGGGAGGGACAGAGTATCTCCTCTCCCAAGGCCCCCCTCATTTTGCCCTTCCTTGCTCAACTGATGACAAGATTCTGAGCAACTGCCCACCTACCCCTCCCCTAACCCAAAGACAGTCAACTGATAACAACTTAGGGTTAATGTTTGGTTAAGGGAGGGTTAGGTACTCAGTTGCTCAGACACTGTCATTGATCCAATGTCTTTGTGTCATCAAATCTTCAATGGTCCAGGAGAGAATAGCTTTTTTTATGTAGTTGATTGTTCATACTGTATTCACTCATAATAATTCAGAATCTACCACCAGAGAATTTTACAAGCCTACTGGTATAGTTGTACTACAAAAGTTCCTTGCTGGCAAATTCTAGCAAACCTTGTCCCATTAGGCAATACCGACGCCATTCATCTAAGCACACTGCTCCAAGCTTGTCATAGAAATCTCTTGCAATTTTGTTCCAGTAAAGAACACCCCAGTCCAGTCTGGCACAACCCTTCTCAACAGCAATCTGAAATAAGGAAAAATGATCAGTGGTCTTTATTTTTAACCCACTACACAGGTATCTCTTCTGTCACCAAGATATAAAGCTTAGCAACATGCCTCTCTACATTCTACCAAAACAAGAAATATATTAAAAAAAAAATTTAACTTACTTGAGCCACTCGTCTCAACAACTCTTTTCCAATTCCTTTTCCTGTCAAAAAAATTAAACTGAACATGTCTTTAGGTGCTAATTATCAGGTAACAAGTACTCTATGTGTACCCCTATAAGTGGTCCAGGCCCAGACTTGTATTTGTCATGGCAAAAGAATTAAAATTTGAAAATTAAAATTTCAGTGAGTCACTTATCTGGCAACCTGTGTTTGCCAATTTTGTGTTAACCCTTTGACTCCCAAGATCTGATTGTAAATTCTCCTCGCTAGCTGCTTCACAAATTCTTGTAAATTAGTTATGAGAATTTGATGTTGGATCAAGATAAAAACTTCTACCTGATAAGTTTGAATATTCTCATTAGCTGTCTGCTCGATAATGGAGGGATATCAAAGGGAGAGGTTTCATGTTGATCACTTCTGGGAGGTTAAGGGTTAAGCTGTATAACTTAATCAAATAGTAAGGGCATTTATGGTCTTTTCCAAATTGAAGGAAGATAAACATTTCATGGCTGGAATACCACCTAATCTTTCTTTGTCTTCTCTCCCAGTGTATTTAATTTTAAAAATTGTCTACACCTTCACCTTCACCTTGATGTAATTCAATTTAAAATAAGAAATTGATGGCCAGTAAGTACAGCGATGTGACCTGTCAGGCAAAAATTTGAACAAAGTGCTCTTTTCTTTCTTTCAAGAAGATTTACAACCCCAAAAATGGTGAACAAAGAGACCCTGAGCATTATGCTTGGAATAAAAAAAAATATGCAAGTAACAGGGAATCAACTTGATCAAAGAGTTCACCTCTAAAAGCTGAGTCGACATAAAGGTCTTGCAAATAGAGAGATCGGCCTTCCCAAGTGGAATAAATGTTGAAAAATAATGCATAACCAACAGCCTTTTTTGTTGGTAAGCTGCAGTTCTTTTCTTCATTGGGGTTCACCTCTTCTGCTATCAGACAGCTGAACCATGGTGTTTCTCCGAAACCATCCCTTCGTATTTCTGCAAGATAGACAAAATGTTCAAAAATTCTTTGTTTCTATATCTAAGTTAGTGCAATCTGTGAAGTAATGACATATCTGTTGCCTCCATGTGTGAACTGAATAATTGAAGTCTTGAAAAACTCAGAAAATAATCAGGAGAGAGTGTAATCGTGTCTGGCCTTGATACCTTAATTCTCTCCTTCGTGATTCCTGATTTCCTCAGATACATAATAAATCTCATTTGACCAGACTGTAAATTTTTAGAAGGTCTCTTCATAACCCTTCACACTGAACATCAGTATGTATTTTCTCCCCACTATTTGCTATACATTTCCTCAGGTGTTGACAAGGAGAATTTGTTTAGAAATCAAGATCCTCTTTGTTTGGTGATCATTTTTGTTTTTCTTGTTACACCAATGTTTGATTCAGGGCTAATATTGTGAGGAGAAATTTCATGCTGGTCAGTTTTAGAGGTGAAAGGGTTTAAAGTCCTGTAAGCTTATTTTTCATCAGATTATCGTTTCTTAATAATTTCTGAGGGGGGTCAGCAGAGGAGTCATAAGGGATCATCTGGTGGGGAAGAGTGGGTAAGTTTTCTTTTGTTTTTGCAGCTTTTTTAACCTCTCAGTCACAGAGAAATCAAAGACTAGCATCAAATTTCTCCTCACAGTATCACCCCTGAATCAAACACTAAGGTCATGAGAATTAAGGAAATGATCACATACTTAACAAGCTCTTGATTGTTAAACAAATTCTCTTTGTCAGCGCCTTAGGAAATGAAGAAGGAATATGCATACTGATCACGTTTGAGTGTGGAGAGTTTCTGTGCACGTTGTGGATCTTACCTTCCTCAGTAGGTTTAACTCTTGATTCTGGTTGCTTCTCAAATACAGCTAAGTCCTATGTAAGAAGAAGAGTTTAACGTGCTCGTTCAAAAGCAAAATTATATTTATGTGTCCTGAAGAATCTCAGAATCTTAGCAACCTCAGCGCATCAAATTAACGATTTCTTTTTTTACCGTTATCATTCGCAAAATTTCTGGAACATCCTCTGTTGTCGCCATACGCACTTGCCATGTTGCCATTCTCGAACAGTCACAAATCACACC